CAGCTACCCTTACTGATTTATGATACATTCCACTGATGCATGAACGAAACACCATAAATTAAGATTTTCTTCTGTGTTATCACTGTTCCTACACACTCAAAAAGAACAGCAAATTCAAGTGCACCTCCCACAAAGGACCAGAACTCTGGCCATGTAAGGCAGAAGCTCAGGTTCCAACCAACTCAACAACTTTGGCTTACACTGGGTTGTACCATTTACACTTTCAAAGAACCTTCAACAGTTTTCCCCCCTTTACCTAGATTAAAGGCCATCTCAGTCTACATTCTATGCTCTTCATGCATGTGCCCTACTACCCATTTCTGTCTCTCAATATATCAACAGATAAACACAGACTCCATTTCTTGAGATCTGAGCTTAGTGTAGACAAAATTAAGCTTCAGGCATACTACCGAGATGTCACACAAAAAACCCGTGGCAGACCAAGACAGTATTTCAAGTGCATATACAAGCTTTCTGTGCTTGAATTCACTCCACCCTTCACCATCCTCACAGCAGTCCCAGGCATTTGAAGTTTGCAGGAAAGCTGAACTAGTATTGTGCTTGAAAATCTATTACTTCACATGTTCCACTATGGTATTTTATCAAGCATTTCATTAAATCCTTTTTACACACTTCAAAGTATTTGGAAGTTCAGCAGCTAATCTGAGAAGGATCAGAGAAAGGAGTGTGAAAATTAAAGTTCAAACTTTAAGGAGAAAAGAAGTGAGATCATGAATAACCATGTACTTTATTAGGACACCTGTTCCTTTCAGCTTCATGCACATGCTGCCATCTATAATATAAGCAAATTACAGCTAGCAACCAGTAATGCTATTGTTGCTGATTTCCAAAAGCTAGGGGGTTTTGTGTGTGTTTTCTGAAAAGTGAACAGATTATGCTTTTGTTGCTGGACTGCCCATCTTGAATAAAAAACTGCTATTAATATACCTCAATGCTTCTTACACCTACTTTCTTTCACAGCTGATTCAAACTGTTAGGGTGCATCAGAATGAAAAGTTAATGTTTTATCCTCTCTATTAAATTAATGGAAAACAGGACAAAACCTTTTGCATGTCTGTAGGTATACAGGACCCCCAAAGTTCTCATCCAGATTTTGTTTTAAAAACAAGACCCAGAAGCAGCACCTGCACGAAGCCTTAATGCCTTCCCTCCATTCAGAGTGTGACTGTCTAGTCTGCACCAGTCTGCATTTCAGGCTGTGCCAGGCAGATCTGAACATATCAAACTTACTGTTTAGTTAGTTAAGCATTGAAGGGATGACCAGTTTTTAAAATAACAAGGACAAGAGTGGACTCACAGGCTAAAAGATAAAACAGTTCCTGTTACATCAAGGCCTTCATGCTACCAACGGGTCAAGTAAACCAGATGCTTTGGCACAGCTACAGAAAATACAGGGATATATGCTGGGTGCAGAGAGAAGAGGAAGAGGTTGTGTTCTTATCAAAGTTTTTACTGAACAAAGTTAATAACAAGATCCTGCACTACTTCTAACAGGATGATTTAAAACTTCAAGAAATGCACTTATGGTGACAGTACTCAAAGACCAGTGAAGAAAAACCCTGCATGGACTACATTCCTGCTTCAGAGACCGCAGCCCAAACTGACACCATGGATGAAGCCGAAAATAGCACACCAAAATATTTTGCACACCAAAATAAACAGATCATCATGGTGGTAAACAGCATTTCCTCGTTAAGATCTTTAAACCAAGAGGATATGGGAGACAGGTGTGGAGGAGCTTTAACCTAGAGAAAAATCACTCAGACATTCTTACCACTTAATAGCAAAGGACTGTTTGCTTTCAGCAGAAGGAGGATGAGCTCTCCTCACCTAGCTGAAAGTTAACTGCAGACAGTAATTTGAACTGCCCTTAAAAAGATCAAGTTACAATTATCAACATTTAAATTCACAAGAAACAAGTCCTGTAAAATTTGGCCCTGCTCTGAGAAGCTATACAAAAGATAAATAAAAAGACAAATGCAGGCAGATCTAGTAATTCTCATTAATTTCAGGAAATTAACATATCCTGGAAGGAAACAGCCCAACATAAGCACAAAAATGGGGAAGGAATAGCAAACAGACATCACTTATTTCTGGGACACTCAGAGTGCCTTCTAAGGCAAAGTATTTCCTCAACTTTAAACAACAAACAAACAAAACCCAGCACTGACTTGTTACTCAGCTTTCCACGCTTGGGGACTATTCAGGGCTACTGAGGCAGACGGGGGAGTTCTGTGCAGATGTTGTGTAGCCCCGCAGCCATTCAGACAGCTCTCTGGTTTTCCACACGGATCTCCGCTGCCTGGCACAGCCAGTACCTTCCCATCCGCAGTAATGCAGGGCCATTGTAGAAGTAGCTGAACTACCAGAAAATATCAACACATACACACAGCACCTTTTTTGGCTTGGGTGTGTTAGACTCTTCTAGTACAAACAAAACACAGTATACTCCAATTTTTATTTTCCTTCCTGGCTTAGTCTTGCAACAGGTTTAATGTTCTGGCCTGATCCATGGGACTACTTCAACCTTTCATTTAAAGTCTAAAGATGTGTGTAGCACTTTTGGAATTTAAGCGTTTTGCTCCACTAGGTCAGCACACTCAATAACTAACACAATACAGTCCTGCTAAGCTGAACACAACATCCCAATAATCACAAGAGATATTTTACTAGTCAGACAATTCAGGGGCTATTAATTTCCTCCACATTGAGCTAGAGCCTTTGAGAAGTCACAAAGCCTTGCAGCATCTTTCAGCCCTCTCTGAATTAGAAGCCAGGTATACCACACACATTCAGTATCTGCTCTCATGCAGAACATACCCATCAGATATAGCACACCTCTGTCACAAAGGACACCAACTCTCAATGAGGTTAAGAAGAACTCCCAAATCCAATTGGGGGGATGGGAAGGATGGTATAACATTTTTTTCAGTTGTTAACATAAAACCTGGATTGCTTCATGATAGGCATATTTCTCCTACATTTAAGTAACTAAATTTTTTCAGGGAAAAAAAAAAAAAAAAAGGTGTTTCTAATGATCAGTGGTTTTAGGAGAAGAGTTATGGTTTTTTAAAGTGGATATTCTATTCCTCACCTTAACCCAGATTTTAAGTGTGTTCTTCAAAAATAAATGGGATAGCCTGCAATATGCATTTCAGCCTCCTCAACAATCATCTTTAAGTAACTTTCCTGTCAGATTCACATGCTAAAACTAAGACCTGTTTATTTCCACCTAAAACCAGAGACACACGCTGTCCCAGACTAGGACTCCTCAGCAAGTATCTTAAACCAGAGAGGTCATTTAGGCTTCAGGGTACCATTGCCTGAATTTTCGGTATTCCAGTATTAACACACTAATACACCAGCACACTAATACTCTAGAGGGGATGCTACTATCGAAGCTTATTTTGTTCTATGCAATGGCCATACACATCCATAAAACCAGTCCATGCTCACAAAAATTACTTCAGTACCTCAAAACTACTTTTCTTCCCAAACATTGCTGAAGGATCCTTTTCGAGGAGTTCCGCAATGTTCCATGGTAAATTCTGACACTTTAGACATCAAAAAAAGCAAACCGTGGCAATGTATTTAAGTGTTGTTTATGCAGAACAGGACTTGGGGGGGGGGGGGGGGTGTGGGAATAATCACAGAACATGAGCCAAAGAAATTTTAGAAGCTGTGATTATTTCTGCCTGATATACTTGCACTCTGGATTCTCATGGAGAACTTCCTTCAAAAAAAAAAAAAAAGTCATCTTATCAGGGTGAGCAGAATTAGGATTTAAATTGTCCAAGCAGGAAGAATTGTAGACCTTCCTTGGAGCAGAAAAAGCAGAGCAGGCTCAGAGAACCTTCTGCCCCTTTTCAGGTTCTTTGAATTCAAACAATTCTTGTTGCTTCAGCTGGCCTAGGTTAGTATCCATATACACTGAAGAAGTTTTAGCAATCTAGAGTCATCACGTACATCCAGAAAGTAGGCTGAAGAATTAAACAGTTGATTTAAAGGTAGTGGATATGTCAATTAAAAAAATATATTAAAAAAAAAAAATAATCAAAGCTTCCCCCCACCTTTGGACGCCTGGATTCCCTCCATTACTCCTGCCCCCACTGCAGGGCCAGGAATTGCTGCCTCAGCTGGAGGACACCAGAACCAACCCACCCCCTCACAGAGGCCTGAGAACAATGAACTCACCTGACATAATTTAACGCTAAATGCCTGTAAGGAAAACGAAGGGAACAGAATGTCCAAAGCATTAACTTTGCCAGTCATAACTTCAGTAACTTAAAAGCTGTACCAAGCCCAGGTAGTCAGCATTTGCTGAGGGCACTCTCTCCCCTTACCTGCTAACTGCGCTCAGCTTCTCCAAAGTTGCAGGAGATACCCAAGGAAATACAAAAACTAACCAGGCAGCCTCAACTCTACCTGCTCTCCGTACAAGCACACCAGCTCATCACACAGCGACCAGACTATTTTGCTTATTGCAGGACATTTTACTGTTTTTCTAATCCATGATACACTAACTTCTAGAAAAGCCATGACAAGCTGTGTCTGTGCATCTTTCCGCTTCTCTACAGTCTGCCAGGGAACAGCATCCTATCTTTTACCCGAACTTTAGTATTCATCTCTTGTAAAAGAATCAATGCTCTTTCTCCACGTCCTACAACATGCTCATTTTTTTCGCGGGTCGCTATCAGCATCCTCTTAACATTTAATACAACGAGTCATCAACGCCCCGGCTAAGTTAAAGCGACTGAAACGTTGCAGGCAGGTATCTGGAGGTAGCAGCTTCCGCGGGTTTGCTTTTGAGCAAGTCTCGATCAAAAAGCAGAGCGCAGGGAAGAGCTCTGAGCAAACCTGCTCCCCCGAGCCCTGCCCACGGCCAGGGTTCCACCGCGAAGCGCCAGCCCGGGCAGCCGATCAGCCCGTCCCCCGCGGGGCCGAGAGGGAGGAGGGAAAGGAACAAAGTGGGACCCAACCTTCGTCCTCAGGGTCTGATGGATGTCTGCCGCCAGCTCCCCCTTCCACCACTGTTCCTCCATCCTTTCTCCTCCCATCCAGACAAAGGTCCGGAGGAGCCGGGGCCGTTCTGCTGGGAGGGAGAACAAACCGGACAAGTCTCCCGAAGCCCCGCGGCTGTTTCCGCCGGCCCTCCCCGCGGCCGCCCCGGCCCCCGCCCGGCCCCCGCGCCCCGCTATTGCCACTAACCATCAGCCGAGGGAGTCGGTGATTTATTACCTTGAAGGGGCTGCGAAACGCCCCCTCCGCGGGTCACCCCCGGCCGCCGCGCAGAGCTGCGCGGCCCCTCCGCGGGTGTCCGCAGCCCCTTGTTGGCGGGGGCGGGGGGGAGGCACCGCTCGGCGCTTTGTGCCGGCGGCAGCGCTGCCCGCGGGTGCGCAAATCTCCGCGGGGCGGCCCAGGCTGAGCCCGCAGCCGGGGGGGGTGGGGGTGGGTGTGTGCTGCTGCCCCCTCCGCCGGTGCTGCTCGCAGGTTAATTGGCGCTAACTCCCAGCCGGCCGCCCCGGGCAGGGGCACTTCCCTCATCCTCCCGCTCAGTGCCCCCGCTCCCTGCAGCCTCCAGCCCCGCGGGGTGCGAGGCGGGCAAAAAAAAATTTACGTTCTTCCAAGTTTTATGAGTCCTAATACAAGTTGCCTTATCTTAAGCTGCCAGAAACCCGTAGATAGAATAGAAGTACTTGCTTATGTCCGGGCGTGAGCCTGGGCAGGAGCACAGCTCCCTGCCAGGCCTCACGTCAGGGCTCGCCGGGCCGGCAGCCACCCGTGTCCTGTGCACACCCGGAGCACGGGCTCCCGCAGCCTCCGTCCTTCAGCCAAACCCCACAGCTCGTGCCTTTGGGACGGGTCCCATCCCCGTTGCCCCGCACCAGCCCCAGCGGGACCCCGGTGTGCGGCCGCAGGACCGGGAGGGGCCCCCGTGGTTGTCACCAGCGCTCAGCCACGCTCCAGCTTCAGGAGTGGGCGCCAGCCGCTGCTTTGCCCTGGGAGCCCACGGACCCTCCTTTCCGAGGTTATACCCAGAGAGCCCAAGAAACTGTCAGGCACCAAACAGCTTTATTCCCTCGCCTCTGAGGGGCATGTTTATAGACCGGTGGATATTTCAGCAGGTTGGACTGAAGTCTTTCAACAAGCCTCTCTTAGCACTCCACTTCAGCAATTCCATGAGCCAAAAAAACCACCACGCAACCTGCTTTATACCCAGATCTCACTGTTGAGGCATTAAGGATGAAGAATTTTCATGAGAAAGTTTACCAGACCTAGCAACAGCTTTCCCATTTAAAGAACTAAATTTCATTTTTAGAATTAGATGGGTTTTTTAAAAAATATATAATTGCCAGTCATTCTGCACTTGAATTAGCTAAAGAACCTGACAAAATGTTTGTTCCTCGGTTGGTTTCCTAAAGGAAAGGAACAACAAAAATCTGACTGCTTCAGTCAAAATAAATAGTTGTGTTGATTTTAGTGTTCATGGGAAAATATTTTTGTGATCAAAGAAAGCTGTTGACTAAATCTTCTGGAGAAAACATACCCCAGTTGTTTATAGTCTATGTTTGCCGTCTTGTCCCCTGCTATAAAAGAGCAGTGTAGTTAAGTGGCAACAGCTATTAAGCCCACAGATAAAAGCTGCCACCAAGTGTCCATCAGAAATAATTTTCCACTATTTTCTTTTAAGTACATCCCAGTATCCCTTAAACAAAGTACTTAAGTGCCATAAATTAAGGCAAAGAATAAACTACCTTGTCTTTTTGCTTAAAGTTGAGCATGTGCTGAACTATTTTGGTGAATAACAGCCAGACCATTTCTTTACAAGTAGTCTGTTTGTGGTTCATACAATAATATATTGATTTTCTATAACAGCTTTTATATACATGTATTATATCAATAAAATTCTCAAGTTTTTTTACAGTGTAAATCAAACCAATAGTATTATTTGAAAGAAAGAGTATCAGTTCTTTGAAATAAAGTTTCAATAATATCAACACGGTGTGGATTTTCAGAAGCTCATGTCCATAACATCTACTCATTTAAAACTCTTGTATTTTTAAAATTGGAATTATTTTTAAAAATACTGAGATTCCATGTGAAATAGAAAACTGTTCCATATAATGCTAGTTTTAATTTTGCAGCTAACAGATTTTCTTTCCCCAAATATGGTCCTTGTGTTTCACTTGCTCCATTTGAAAATAAATTGTGTGATGTATCAAAAGTTTCCTTCAGTAACTGCATTGATATTAAAAATAGAAACAAATATTTAATAAGGTTCTCCTTTCTGTAGCATAGCTGTTAGCAGGGCTCAGATAGACTGCCCTGTTGATTTTTAGAAAAGCCAACCAGCAGTGTCTTTGATACCATAAAATATTCACAGTAACAAATTAGAGAGCAGTAATTCTGGACTTGATAAGAGCTCAGACACAGCCTTGAACCTTGGAATTGCTTTATTGTGAAGGAGGGAGTGCCAGCAAGGCCACATACATAAAACAGGGAGTCCAGTACTGTTTCATCAGATAGTCAAATGAACAACACACAGACATTATCATTAACTCGTTAGTATTGTAAAAATTGACTGCAGCTACAGTATATCTTTTTTCCATCCAAATCCTCATCAGATTCTTATATGATGGGTAAAGTTTGGGCTAAAACATAGGCTTTAGCCACAACAGAACTGTGTTTATTTAGTTTTCAAATGTTTTAAAAAAAAAGATCCCTCCCCAGGACTTCTCCTTCCCCAGGTGGGCAGCCCAGCTTGTTACTACCCATGTGCCTCCCATTTCACCAGGATCCCAAAGACAGAATTCTGGTTCTTCATATTCATCCATATCTTCTACTGCCCTGCTTGGGTGGTTCCTCTGCTACTCCTCACGTTTTTGTTTGGGTTTTTTTGTTGTTGTTTTTTTTTTTTTTTTACCTGACCTACCTTACTGAACCTACTTTTACTACTGGATTGTTTTTCTGCAGTTTTAGAGAGTGATACTGGTTCATGGAGGGATCTAGAAGCCCGCACACAACAAGCACCAAGGAGGCACAGCCCCAAGTTGCAAGAGGTAAGCTGGGCATCTTCCTTCAGCAGCATTAAACCGGGATGATGTGATTTGTGGAGTTGTGCCCAGATCTGGCTTGTCCTGTTCCCTCCCAGAGCCAGCACTGGTGAGGCTGGGCAGCAAGGGCCTGATTAGCAATAAGCACCCAGGAAGGTCCTGTAAGCTGTGCCCTCGCTTTACTGTCTTGGCTGGGTCAGGTTTAACACAAAACTATCAGCAAGATGATCAGAGGTGTGGGAGCCCTGTGCCCTCACAGGTGACAGAGATGAGGGCAGGGTGGCCCCTTTCTGTGGGAGATTCATGCATTTGGAGAGCTGCAACCTTCTTTCTTCTGCTGTTGATAGAAGTAAGCTATGAATTTATTTTTATTTTTATTTTTTTTTAAAAAGACAGTGTTACAGGATTAGGGCTGTCCTCAGGAGCTGTAAACATTGAGCCTGGCTGGCTGATATGAAGGGCTTTAACCCCAGTGAGCCGCTGTTGAGTGTGTATCCATGTCAGATTAAGCCTGTGGCAGTGCACAGAAAGAATGTTAGGACAGCTAGTATTCTAAGGTTTAAGGAAAATACTGCTGTGTTTCTATGTAGCTTGAGGAGCCTGTTTTATTCAAAGGCTTTTAAATGGTTGCAGTTCCTAGCTTTCTGCTGATGCTGAATGGGTTGTGTTGGGATGCTTGTGCCTTGCCTTGGGGCACTGGGAGCCTCTGGGGAGACTCATGGGCCTGTTACTGCCCAGCAGCTTGAGCTTTGTGCCTGAGAACTGGCAGGAGGCACAAGCCAGCCTCCTCCGAATTTCCCTTTCAAGCACACCATCCCCTCATCCCTGCTTCTTCCTGGTCTCAGCACTCATTTCCTTGTTCCTCCTCTCAGCCAGTGGTTATGTGGAAATTAAAAACCCTGTGAATGTACCCTTCCTTGTAGAGGTCTTTTACCTCTTGACCTGCCTGTTAAGCACCCAGGGGCTGGCAGCCTCTCCTGCACACGGTCACTAAAAATGTGGGGAGGAATGACAGGGCCATTCTGGGGGTTACAGCAGTGCTGGAGCGGGGCATGGGGAGCTGTGGGTCATGGACTTGTGCCATCCTGATGTAACTGTGGTTTCTGCTGTTGGACCTGGCTCGTTTCAAGTGCAGAAATGGCCCTTGGCAGTGGGAAAGGGCCAGGAGCAGAGCTGTGGCTGCCAGGAGGCAGGGCAGTGGGGACAGTGCAGAGAGCAGCCATGCAGCCCCCAGAGCTGTCTAATGTTATTGTGGGCCTGCCATAATGTGGTCCTCGGTGCTACTTAGCGAGGCAGCATTGGCAAAACCTGGAAGAACAGAAAAATATTTTTTTTTTTTTCTTCACCATTGAGGTGCTGACTGTTGAGTATTAACTGGTATAACTGAGTTCAGGCTCACCTGGGGAGCAGGGCAAACCAGTGACCTGGATCCTCCTTAATCCCCTAGAAGGAAGATGTGATCAAGACTTGAAGGCATCGATCAGCCTGGTCAGCTTGGGCAAGGCACTCTGGGCGGCACGTTGGGCACGTGGCTGGGGCTGCACCAGGGAGATGCCACCTTGCTCTGGTGCCTTCTCTTTGCTTCCAGCTGTGACATTGCATCATTACCTTCCAGATACTCCATGTACATTGAGTCCATGGTTAATGTTATTTTTCCACAGTGAAAATATTTTTTGATGTTTATTTTTTAATTGTTAGCATAGAAATGTATGTTTCTTTTTTTTAAAAAAAAAAAAATGAGAAAACACAACAAACCCCCAACCAAAAAGCAAGCCCCAAACAAAACAAAAAAATCCAACCTTTGCCGTCCTTTTGTATAACCAGCTCTGAAGGGGAGGAAAAGGGCTTTGGGAGGTTGAGTTAAGGGGTCAGAAGCTGCACCAGGCAGGAGGAGTTGTCCTTGGGCTCACCCCCCATTGATCACGTCCCACCCTGCCTGTGGCTGTGCGGAGTGCTCGGACGGTGTGGAATCGCAGCTTCAGCTGAGCTGGAAGCGTGCTGCTGTGTGGCGTTGGGGATGGATGTGTGAGGGAGAAGGCTCCGTGGGAGTGGAGACGAGCTCCTGTGGCAGAGAAGCCCTGCTCTGCCTTGGGGGGCACTTGGGCAGGCACATGTTCACAGCCAGGTCCATTCTGGTTTCTACTGAGCCACAAGCTGACCCAGCTGAGCCTTTTCTCTGCTGACTGAACACTGAATGTGGGTGCTCCTGCCTTGCCGTGCCTCTTGCCCGGGCACACTGGATGTGCTGGAGGGACTCGCTTGTGCCAAAACGTGGTGCAAAGGGCAGCTCTGACATTTGTGTTGAAGGAGGATGCTGCGGCATAACAGGTCTTGTGCAAGAGTGGGTGGCAGGTGTGGGTGGCATCCTGTTCAGCCACGATGTTCCTTTTTCCTTCTTGATGGCATCTACCCGTGTGCTGGCCCAGCTACCACCATTCCCAGCTGCTGTCCTGCCATGCCAGAGATGCTGGGGCGAGCAGCCTGCGTGGGAGTGGTGCTCTCTTGAGACAGCCTGGCTCTGAAAACCAGAGTTTTTCATTTGGTGGTTTTCCAAAAACTTTGTATTACTGGAATAAAGAGACTTTATGTAAATCTCAGTTTCACTTTAAAAACAAAGTAAATAACTGCTTGGCTGGAAGACAATGGCAACACAAATCCAAATGCAGCTTGGAGATGCAGGAGCAAGCCAGAATGTGCTTTTTCAAATTCTCTAAAGTCTGAGCCAGTCATTTTGAGTTTTGTGGGTTTTTTTCCCCCCACTTTTAGTATTTCAGTGATTGGCCCTGTAGTGACCCAGATGCGTTTGTACCTTGTCAGCTGCCCTTCCCTCCCTCTTCTGGTTGAGGCAGGAGGAGGGGACCCTGCAGTTCCTTGAGATAATCCTTTTTGTAGGATTGAGCTGAGTGGAGACTATTTTTCAGCTTGCATGTTGCTCTTCAGGTATCATGAGAGGAAATTCATGTTTTTCAGAGGGACCCACATGTATCACTTCAAACATTCGTACCTCTTTCACATAAATACTTACGATATATGATACCTTTAAATGACTTCAGCACAATGGGAGGCTAAATAATCTGGAGAAGCAGTTCCTCTCCCTCTTGCCTTCTAAATTGCATTAGTTTGGGGTTTCTGTTGCTCAGAGTCCCCGATGGCAGCAGATGCCCAGGGCTGGGGTTCAGGCTGTGCAGCTCACAGTGCTGCTCCTGCAGGAAGGACCTTGTAGCCCCAAACTGAAAGCAAACACTCTAGCACTGAGCACTTGGCAGGCATCAGTGGTTCTCTTTATAATCTACATTCTGATATTCCAGACTTAACACTCATTTGCAGGTTTTCCCTTTCACCAGAATAAAAAGGATGCCTTGCCAGGCAGTTAATAACTCCTCTCGCTTCTCATCTGGGGAAACCATCTCGTGTCCCCCTGAGAGGGCTGACACTGGGAGGGAACGCTCCCTGCTGAGGCCTTCTCTGGAGATAACAAGGGAAGACAGAGTGGCTGAGTTGATCTAATTGCTCACTGCTGCTTCTCCTCCACCTTCCCCTTAGATTTATTCCCTGTGGTACTCTCCCATCCCCAGTACCAAGTGGGTTCAGCTGATAAGATCAGTGGAGAACTAACTTGGTTACAAATAAAACCCAAACAATAAAAAAATCCCACACCCCCTAAAATGCCTCCTTTCGGGGATGGGTAATGCACTGAATCAAGGGGAAAGAATTGAGGAGGGAAGCAAGGTCTCTGCCTTTTGTCAGCAGTGTGCTGTGAGCACTACTGGATTAATTAAAGCTGTACTATGTAATTTCCCTTTTGGGTGCAGTGGGTGGTGGTGTGCGGAGGCAGCACCCCGCCGTGTGTCCCACCACCTCTCCTGAGCTGCTCCTGACGTGCTGTTGCTGGGGGACCTGTGTCGGGGGGAGGGCTGCCTGCAGCCCAGCCCCAGAGCGGCTGGCTCCCCTGCATGGAGGGAGAAATGCAGTGCTTGAACCGCTGCTGCCATTGGGAAGCTGCCTGCAAATGCACCCCGGGACACCCTAAATGGGGGAGCTTTGGAAAGAGAAATATATTATCTGAGCAACCGCTGCCAGGGAGAGAACACTGGCCAGCTGGGTGAGCAGCTCCGGGGGAACAGACAGATCCTATTCTTCCATCTCGTGGGTTTTCTTGTACAGAGGGCGGAAAACTCTGTGCGTTCCCCAGTTTGCTGGGCTGGGAGAGGGGAAATAGCCCTGTTGCACCAGCCCCTACAAAATCCATCACTAAACCCAATAGTGTCTGTGGAATCTGTAACACAGTTTTGAAATACCTTCTGGGAAACCACTTTTATAAATATCAAGACTATCCCAGCAGTACTTTTGTTCAGCTTTATTTTACAAAATGTACTTGAAAAGACTTTGCAAGTTATAACACAATTACTGTAGTTCTTGAAAATCATGCAAGTTATTTGACTTGTAAAAGTAAGATAAAAAAAAAAATCTTTGTTCTTATGGGATATCCCTTCAATTACTACGTATGAGGATTAGAGGAGCAGGAAGTTTGTGAAAGTTTGCACCAAGTGACAAAGAAGATGATAAATATGACTGGAAACCAAGAAGATGCATCTGATAGTGAGGAAAAGACTCCCTCCAGCTGGCTGATGAGACAGAGCCCTCTGTGTCTGTTGGACACCCCGGGGCATGGCAGCCAGGCTGAGCGGCTTTATAGCAGGAGAACTCTTTGCTCTGGTAATAGTGAACCATTTTGGAGCATACACCTGTATTAACTGATACAGAAGAGGAAAAAAAAATTGCTAAGGTCAGCTTGGCAAAAGCAAAAAGCTCAGCTGAGCAAAAGTTAAACTTTTGCCTTTCCTGTGTTTTTTTTCCATACAGTTTAAAACAAAACCATTGATTTTGGAGTATCTGTAATATTTGACATACAACATCAAAAAAGCAAAACAGCAGTAAGATAGGGTCTAGCTGTAACATTAGCCCTTGAGGACGATCTCAGCAGCACCACAAGTAAGTCCTTCCAGCAAAAGCTGGTTGGGATGAAGGAAGGGGGGTTATTAATGAATCTGTTTCTGGAGTGAAGGTTCATGCTGTCTTTGACAATTGAGTCTTATCTGTAAAGCTCAATCTCTACCATGGCTTGGTGGCCCGCAGGTATTTGGCTTGCACAATCCAGTTTAGGCTCTGGTCATGGCTTACTGACACTTGTCTGAAACCAGATGCAGGACTCCAGCGCTGGCATAGCAAGGCTGAAATCTGGGAAATGCCAGTGATGCTCAGTGCAACAGCTTGTGATTTACAACAAGTCTTACCTTTAGCCTTAAAAATGAGATCGCTTTTTTGCATCATTTCCTATTTAGACCGGAGGCCTTTGCTTATTAGTACTGCTTTGAGGAGGCTGAGCACCACTCTTAATGTTATAACTTTAGCTGACATCTTCCTGACTCTTAGGCAGCTGGTAAAGTGTAACTCTGCATTAACAAGAATTATTACTATTATGGGGTGTAGGGGGAGGAGGCGCAGTGATACAGTCTCCAGCACCAGTGTCACTTCTGAGCTCAGCTTTCAGGAAATGGTTGTTATTTTCCATGCTCAATAATAATATAATAATCAAAGCATTCTGCACCAGTATTTGAGCTACATGTCCATGGCATATTGGAGTATTCAAGGAAAAGTAATGGGTGGCTTTGAGACTTAGAGATTCATGGGCTGTTTAAAGGTGAGTCCTACTGGTCCTGGTACCCTGTGGACTAGTTGATGACATCAAGTAAATATCTAAATAGCCAGTACAGGCTGTTAGCACCAAAAATGTAGAATTGTATGATAATCCCACACATGTCCATGTACAGGCTACACTTTCCTGGACCGAGGTCTCATGCATTTCCTGGTTTTCCCACAGGCTAGTTTCTCATCCTATATTTCATTGAGATAATCTTGATCAGGATATATCAGGAAGCCAGTAAATAAGCTGTCTGTCCAGTAGGGATCATAAAAGAGCCCATTTTGTTCTGAGTAAAAGATCTGCAGCCAGACCTCATCCTCCTGCTTCAAAGAAAGGATGGTTGATCCAGAGGCAACGTCGTGGTTCCCAGTGTTGGCATCAAAAGTCTTGATCCGGTATTGCCCGTTGTGGACCAAGCCAATGGCCAAATGTTTGTTGGCCAAAGTGATATCATAAGTGAAGTAGTAAATACCTGGGATGCTGCATATAAATTTCCCGCTGGAAGCATTGTAATGTCCTCCCTCGTTCATCAGGATCCTGTCAAATTTGATGGGCAGCCTTTCCCTTGGGTAACTCTTTGAGACTGCCACAGAGAAGGCAGATTTGGCTTTGTTGGTATTACAGGTGCAGGGTCCTGGCATCCCAGTCTCGCCCTTGTTTCCTTTGGGTCCTTTTTTTCCTGGTGCCCCGTTTTTTCCAGGATTACCCTTTAAACCCTTGGGCCCTCGTGGGCCTGCCTTGCCAATAGCTCCTGCTTTCCCCTTCGGTCCTGGCTTGCCGGGGTTTCCTGTTCTGCCTTGTGGACCTAGAAGACAAATAACCTTGCAAATTTTTCAGTGAAAGAGACGATATGGCAAGTGGAAGGGGGTTGTATTGTTGCAGCAGTATATCTTCATTTAGGAGGAAAACCTTGCTGGTGAGAATACCAATGAAATACCACCTGGGGCTGGACATCTGTCAGGACTGACTACCCCTGTTGGGTAGGTAGTTGGCATGATAACAATGGGACTTGAGAGCAGGAGAGTCTGTTCCTTTAAGGACCAAAAGGCTGTTTCAATTTTCTGGCTCACTTGAGAAAAAGGAGTAATTAATTATAAAGCTAGACAAGAACAAGCTTTAACTGTTTGGAGTTTTCAGAAGTGGAACAGGTTTTTGAAGATTTTAGGACCCAGCTTTGAAGAAACAGAGTATTTGTAATCTGTTGGTTTTTTGTGGTTTTTTTTTTTTTTTTTTACATTTAACATGAAACTGTTGTCTTAGGAAAAAAAAAAATTATAGGTGTATAAAAAGCCCATCCTAGCTGGTGGATGAACCAGGAGACACCTGGTACAGGGACTGCCTTAAGATGGGAAGTGTGGTGAGCTGTCACAGAGACAGTGATGCTGAACCTGTTGTGTGGTACCGATTGCAGTAGCGTCTGATACAAGACAAATTCATAGGGATTTACACCCTGTGTCTTGCTGTAGCAAGATGCAAGATTAGATTTAAATGCAACTGTGGGTGGAAATGTGTTCTCCAGATTCCCTGGTTTGGGTGTGGGAGAATAAGATGCAGTTTTGGCATGCTGGTGTTATGCTGAATCAGGAGTGCACTCTAGTGTGGCACCAGGAAATCACTGCTTGCTCACCATAGCTGGTCCTCATACTTACAGGCTATAAGGCTGGATCTAAAGGAGAGCCCTATCTCAGGATTAAAGAAGAGTTGCTTGCTTTGATTTAGCTTAAGCATAGCCAGAGCAGTGCCTGTCACCTAGCTAGAGCACTTCAGGGAGCAAGTACTTGATTTTTTCACCTGACTTTGTTTCACTTGAGAGCAGGAGTCAGAGACCACCACTTTGTCTCATCTAGAGAGCATATATCAGAACAGAGAGAATCTCACTTCATAACAAAATGATGCCCATAGCAATTGCATACAGCATTAAGATGCTCTCAGCAAATAATGTGAATCTGAACCTCCCTGGCAGGAGCTGACAAACATGAGATGCTGGAGGGGGGAAAGTGGAAATTTCTAGAAGAGTTTCCTATGAGATGTTGTCCGTCCTGGGGCTGGGATTTGGGGTGACAGGTTGCTGTTGTCTGGGCTGTTGCACTATTGCTTTTACGTTTTACCCTTTTTGTGTTGAGAAGCGCTTTCCTCCTACCTTCATCGCCGTGCTCGCCTTTGTCCCCGTCCTTGCCATCCTTGCCATCTTTGCCCGGGAAGCCCATCCTGCCGACTGTCCCCGGAGCCCCGGGTGCACCGGGCGGGCCGGGTGGCCCAGGGGGTCCTGGCAGGCTGCACGCCAGCTGGGGACCCTCCTGCAGCCCTCCCTTGGCAAAGCCCCCAAGGATGTGGTTGGCCACACAGGGCACAGTCCAGAGGAGGAGGACAGCGGAGATCATGGCACAGGCTCTGAAAAGGAGATGGGACGTGGCTGTTATGCATGGTAGCCAGCACGTGTGGGTACAGTGGTGTCCCCACTGCCAGGACAGTGTGTTGTAGAGAAAATGGGAGATGACTGGGATTTTTTTGTCAGGGTAGGGGAGCTGTTTGATTTTGTATGACATGAATTAAAGGATTTGGCTCATGGAGTTTTCTAGGCCTAACCAATATTTTTTTTAAACTTGCTCTTCTTTAAGTCCATATCTGTGGCCATTCCTCATTTTGTTTTGCTCCCTGGGCCTCCCTTCCCCTGAATCACAAGTAGCAATAGCAGAGGGGTGCAAAAAGCAGCTGCTTGGGAGTAGCAGAGTGGGGGAAGGAGAAAAGGTTTTGGTGTAAACTTCCCCAGTGATCCCTGCCCTGTAGCTGGGTCTTACCAACTGCCCTGTAGCAGTTTCTTACCAAGCATAAAACCCACCGTGCGATGCAGGGCTGAATTTATAAGACAGGCTTGCGGAGGCTTTGGGCCGAAGCAGTCTTTACTGGGTTTTGCCCGACAGTACGAGCTGAGCCCCTTGGCCATCCTGCCCCCCCCTGCAGCTCGGCTGCACGGCACTGCCCAACCTGCAGCCCAGCTCCCCTGCAGCCTCTGCCCGTGCTTTTCTAACCTCTAGCCATGATGACCTGCCTCTCTGTGGGGGCACTAGCTCAGTTTTTATGTTTTTTACAAACATCCACCTTGGAAAGACAGGTAACTGTCAAAACCCCAGCCTTTGTTTGTCCCCTGCCTCTGTGAAGTGAGCCATTGCTCTAAGTACAGCAAACCCCAAGGGCTTTTTTGGAGCATCCCAGGCTCTGCCTTCATTGATAGCAGGGAGGCTGAGCCTCCTGAGCTTGGCTCACTCCACTCTTGGATGGGGAGATAGCAATGGAAAATAATTTCTGGAATAATGCCATTCCCATGAAGCTGCTAATGATACAGAGCAGTTAATATACAATAAAATATCCCTTTGGATGTCTGCACATGGAGCTGTTTGCAAATAGCTATGCTTCATGTGCAACTCCTGACTAACTCCCCTGCATCTTGAAATAGTGCTCAGATGCATCAGCACCTTAGAGAAGATGCTCAAAATCAGGCTGATTGATGAGAGCCCATCTTCATGAATGATCCACCTGAGACTTTGGGCATTAGAAGCATTTAAAATAGAATTTGTGTTCTACACTAGTTACAGACATAGCAAAAAAGAGAATTTTCCCAACAGCATCAGTTTCTGACCACCCATGGGTAAAGGTCCTCCTGCCAGCCCCACCCCAGAGCAGAAGGCCTTCCTATGCCTGGGCTGGGGATTTTTTCTTCCCTTTGCTCTGTTGCTGAGGCAGGTTGTGGCCATGGCCACCAGCTCCCCAGCAGGGCCGGTGCTTCCTGGTGGGCACTGACCATGGGCTGAGGGGGACACTGGTGGAGTTGGGCTCTTTTCCAGTTGTATGAATATGGAAACAAGCTGATGGGGGGATGAAAGGCATCCCCTGGCCTGATTTCTTTTTTTCAGCTTCTGTAGCTGGAGTTAGCCCTTGGAGAGATGAGACATGAAGCCTAAAACTACCCCATATAAATCTGTGGCTGGTTCACTGTTTGCTCAGTAGCTCTTTGATTAGGAGAGATCAAGCTAAAGCCAAAGGTGGGGGAATTTGTTGTTGTTGTTGTTGTTTTAAAGGAATTAGTTATGTATCACTTTGCTACAACTCCTATCCCTGGGCTGAGATGTGCACACTCTTATTTGATGGAACAGACTCCTATAAAATTTAGTCTTTTCCCTTATTACAGCTACCTCTGATGGTAGAGGGTTCAATATTTTACAACAGTCATCTGTTTGCATGGGTTTTCTTACCACATCCCAAAGTCCTGCTAACAAAATGCAGAATATAAGTGAGGACTGAAAAGCAAGAAAACTGCCTTTCATGTATTTCTTCAAGCTTTGGTGCCGAAGCAAACTTGTAGTTAAACACAGATGCGACAGATGAGCTGGGATATCCCAGACATTTCAATCTGCTGGTGGCCTTTTGGTCAGGCAAGGTCCTGCTTGGTATCAAGTCAAATACTGGGAGGCTCTAGCATCTCCCCAGCAGTGTTATGTTTAACACCTGCACTGGAAATAAGATGCTTAAAGTATTGTATAAATGTCAAATTTGCCTTAGCGCTCTCATCCTGGTATTGACTCCTGAAGGGGGTGGAAATGCATATTACATGCTCCAAATCCAGCGAGCAATATGCTACATATTAATGCTGAGTGGGAGCCCCCCAGTTCTGCGATATGTATAATTAAGGACATGCAGAGGAGTGGGAAATGCAAAACAGAACTCTGAGCTGGATTCAGCTGCTAAGCCATTTTGTTCTTCAGCTCTCTTTTGCTTTTCTTATACCTAAGTTTATTTGCTGCTGGTGGAAGGTGTCAATTTAACGGCCTTGTGAGATGGAAATCACCAACTGTTATTCATGTGGAGAGTTGCATAAAGGCTTAGTTCACAGAAAGGGAAACAAAAAATGCCTGCGTAGTGGGGAGATCCCAAGGACAACTACATCCTGGCTTCCCAGTGACAACCTCAAATGGGGCAGAAAAGAAGTGAGAGGCGTCTAGAGGTGGATGACACTAATAACTTGTGGCAAGGAAAAATGTCATTGTGGATGATAATCTGGAAAAAAGCTGGGACTGCTTCATGTGGAGAAGAAACAGGCAAGAAGGAGCACAGGGCAGGAGGGCAGCTCCTTCTCCTGAAGTTTCTTACTGTAAGTACTTCTATTACCTTCAGACAACCCAGCTAGTTGACCTGCTGGGATAAAAAGTGGCAAACACAAAGTACCTCGAGTGATGGTACTTGGATAGACGGGGAATATTCAACTACCTAGAGCCATGCTCTGGCGCAGATCCTGAGTCGGTGTTAATTAACAGCTCCACAAGAACATTTCATCCCACATCACAGCAGTGCGTGTGGGATGCAAAGCACAGTCACATTCACAAGAGGATCTATAAATAACCTCTTAAAGGAATCTCTTTGAAAGAAAACAAACCTCATGCTGTTCCACCTTAAAAGGAAAATTGCTCCTCGATATAGAACATATGATGAGCTCCAAAAAGCAAATTAGAAACAGATCAGCATCTTCCCTCTCCACAGTATGGGCGGCAGGCCTGTCACCAAAGGCCATGCAGCATTGTTTCAGCTGGGGTCTTACTTTTCTAATGACATTTTAAATAACGTCTTTGTTAATAGGGTTTTGGAGACTTTTTGGCCATGACCGGTGGCTGTTGTGCAGGAATGTGCACCATGCCCAGGGGGTTACAGGAGCTGACTGGTGGTGGAGGACTGCTTAGGGAGGAGAGGAGATCCTGCATCCTCTGACTGGGTGCAGGGACCAGGCAATGGCTGTAGCTTGTACCTGCCACTGAAATGCCAATGTCCAGTTCCTCAGCAGCCGGGGAGAGCACACCAGTATCAGGCACTGATTTCAGCGTGGGAGAAGAAAGTGGACCAGCTTCACTTGAGCTAGCCCAGTGTCGGCAGCACAGGCAGGGCTGGCCAGGCCTCAGGGCTGCTGTGGCCCAGCTTCTCCCCAGCGGAGCCTGGGGCAGAGCCTGGGGCAGCACCAGGACTTGCTCGAGGTTATCAAGTGCACTGGTGCCGAGCCTGGGCCAGAGCAGGGGTGCTCCGGCCCTTCACGTGTGGAGTGCCTCTCCCACGGCTGGTGTTGGGCAAGATCTCATGATTGCAGAAATGCTTTTCTTCCCCCCAGTACTTAAAAATACCCGATCCAACCATTGAGTCACTATAAAATTATATTTTCTGGCATTTAGCAGCAATGGTGCTTCCTAGGTTGCTTGGTCGAAGAAGACCAAAGCCTTGGGCTCAGGAGGTGGTGCAACTTGTGGGTATGTGAAGGACAAGGGCAGCACTGATCTGCTCTGAGGTAGAGTCTTGGAGGAAAGATTCTTTGAGCTCCCAGATGCTAGGCAGGCTTTGGCTGAGAGCTCATTTTCTGATCATATCTGGGTCAAACCTCCACCTAGAGAGAGAGGAGAGAGGCTCCAAAATGTGCTGCAAGTGTCTGGGCCCTGAGGTGGAAGGATGAGGCAGACAGGAGGAGTGACAGGTATCCATCAGCTGGGTTTGAGAGACAATGATTCCCGGTGTCCTCCAGCTGAATCAGTGGAAACTGCTGCTGTGGGTCCAGGGCATCCCTTGGGATCAATATAATCTGTAAAACTGTGCTGTGGATCCCCACAGGGTAATTTTGGGGAATACTCGTCAGGAAGCAAACCAGGAAGGGGAAGATTTTAGAAAATGTTCACTCCTGAATCTCAGAGCTGGAACATGCCTTTATAGAAAATATCTCAGGGCAAAGAAAGTAATGAATACTGAGCATCTCTGATTTGCAAATATGATACATACAGACCTGAGTGTTTACTGGCTTCTCTCTTCCTAGTGAGCCACATGTTTAGGGGCTTTCACTATAATTACATAATAAAATATAGTGAATGACTCAAAGCAAGCATGTGTCTGAAATGGGATGTTCTGACTCTGCCCCATGGCCTTTATGTGACACCCCCTTTCTCTTTTAGTGTGTTTTGTTGTCATCACTCGTTGCTTCAGTGGGTCCTTCTTTTCCTGCTGGAGCTCAGGCCCTTTTTGGAGGCTGCCCCAGGCCCTGGATCTCCCTGCCACACTAGGGCTTAGCTTTCTGCAGGATCGAGAAATACCAGGAGCAGGTGGGCTGCCTGACTCCCCAGCTGCCCGAACCAGCCTGTTTGAAGCAGTCACTTGTACACTCGGCAGGATTTGAACCCGACCCCCCCATGCTGAAACCTGAGCATCCCATGAGCTTTGGTGGCACATGGAGCATCTGTGCAGGGGGACTGCAAGCCCATGCTCTCTAACAGCTTTTCTGGGCACGCTCCTTGTTGCCAGAGCTACAGCACATCACTCTGTCACCCGAGAGCCACCATCCCTGTGTCCCCACAGGGATCCTTGCAGCTCCTGTTACTGCTGGCTGCTGCAGCATGGGATGGACTTGCTGCTGCTGGGAGGGCCTCACAGACAGCAGCCTGGGGGGACAGATCTCTTGCCATGTCTCCCCTATAGCTTTGGCTGCCACAGCATCCCTGCTCTGCCTGGCTCCTGCACGTCCCTGTGTGACCACCCTCAGCCCAGCCGCTGGCGAGCTTCCTGAGCCACTTCACAGTTAAGAAGCCAGACCAATTCTATAGATCTATATGCACTAAACAGGTATTTTTGTAGGAAAAGGTTTTGCCTGTAAGAGTGAGCCCCAGGTGCAAGTTGTACTTAATGGTGCTTACAGGGCAGCTGGGCTGAAGTTCCGTCAGAGGGAAAATCCCTGAGGGTTTGCCAGATGTGGGGTGGTTTGGTGGCACACACGGTGGCCAGATGGTGATTTCTGGCCAGGGAAGCCACTCTGTGCCAGGCGGTGATGGTGTGTGCCTGCCCATGGGGAGGAAAAGCACAGCGCAGGAGAGAGTCGGGGGGGGGGTTGCTGCTCTTGGAGCGAGGAGCAGGATGCTCTGATAGCCCAAGAGGGGACCCAGCAGTGAACAAACCACCGTGACTTTCTACTCTATTTCCTTTCAATACACAAGGCTTGCTTAAACAAAACAACCGTCTTCCTGCTTCACAATTTCCCAGCACACCTCAAGGGATCTTAGTCTTCAAAATAATCATTATCGCTGTGAGACTAATTCTCAGCTTTGGTGGTTGCCCCGGAGTATCCCCGGGGTGGAAGCACACAAAGAGCCCTTGGGCACGTGGGGCTGGTTTAGATAAAATAAGGCTTGTCACCAGTGACAGCAGCTGAAATGGATGTATTTAATTTTTGATATAAGCCAGTGAAGTAGTTATACCAGATACAAGTTTGATCTGTTATCTGCTATTGTACAAAGCAATGCCAAAGGAGATAAAGGAGAGTGATTCATCTTCTGTGCCTGAACCTGCATCACCATCTCAGCTTGAGGCAGCCAGGGATGCCCATGGAAAACCTTTCCTAGCCCTGAACTAAAGCCCCGTTACAGAAGCTGCCGATCGTACCAGAGCAAAGGGAAAGGCTGCAGTTTCGGCTGTACGAGGTTGGTGCTCCCAGCAAAAGCCTGAGGAATGTTTCCTTCCTGGAGTATTTCTTTTAACTGGTGACTGTTGCCTTTATGGATTCCTGTGCAGGCATTGGAAACCTGAGTGTTCAATGATTTAGACCTTATTTGGTAAGTTTTCAAAGTTAAGGTTTAGAGGAGGGAATGAAAAAAAAAAAAAAAAAAAAAAGGGAAAAGTGAATCTACTCACCAGGACTAATCTCTTCAGTGAGATCTTGACAGGCGCTGGGAACCGACACGATTCTAAGCAGATGTTTTGCTGCAGATTGCTGTCACATGTGGAGCCCAAGCCCTGTCCTGCCACAGCAGTGTCCTTCCGAGGGGTGTGCAATACTGACTTTGGTCTTTCTTTCTTATTAACGCTTTACTCCTTTTTGTGCAGAATGCTAGCTTCTTGCAGCAGCTCCAGGTTTTGGCTCAACATTGCCAAAGGCATATTTTTATTATTGTGTAATGGGTCTGCGTCTCTTCCTCTGTCACGTGGCAAGGGAAGAAATTTTTACGCACATATGGCTGGAAAGCTCTTGATGCTTGGGGAGCTGTTCCCTTTCTCTCTCTCCCTTGCAGTCTTGTAGGAAAGGCTCAGGAGTTGCCTGGATCATTTCTGACCAATTCTACCCCTGTCTGCTGTAGCCGCTGCCCCTGCAAGCAGAATTTGTAAGGGGACAGTAACACAGATCAAACTAGGGAACAACTTTGACACTTGATCCTGGAGCATTAACAAGGGAAGCAAATCTTGTCCTAAGGGTGGAAACTTGCTTCTAAAACAGTTTAGACAAACAGATTATGTTTGTCTTTACTCAATCACTCCAGGCTGTAAATAAAGGACATGTGGTGAAGCAGCAGCTTTGCAAATGCGAATTTTGAGAGGAAAGGCATGTACCTCAGTGCTGCTCCGGGTGGATGTGCGAGACAAAACACGGAGACTTTGCCAGAGGGATGGCAGGGTGGGAATGCTTCTATCTTTGGAAAGGGTTGGGATTTTGTTTTAAGCTTGCAAAGTAATTATAAAACTCATAGCAGTTGTTTAAGGTAAGGCAGTAACAGAAGCAGTGGCTGATGCTGGAGTTCAGCTTTAGCTCTGCCAACACAGAAATGTTGAGTCGCGTTAAATCCCCATCCCTTCTTGTTTCTTCACAGCAGCAAGTCATGGTGTTATAGCTCTGAGCAGTGTTGATATCCTGGCTTATACCAAACCACTAGACCCAGAATTTGAAAATGCCTTACAACTCTCAAAATCAACAGTGTTTCGCTAACAGCTCCCGGGGAGGTGCAAAGAGACAAACAGGGGTTGAAGAGCTCCTGACCTGGCTCCCCTGCTGTCCACCCCTTCCATTCCTCCCCGCCTTGCAGGGTGCTCTGTGATGCTGCCAGGGTTGGTACAGATCAGACTTGCACCAGACTGATCTTTTTAAGGGAATGGTGGGGAGAGTTTAAACAGGAGCTGCGAGGTGATCCAGAAGTAGACCCTAGCCCCACGGGTGCTCCAGCTGGCAGCGTAGGAGGTTATGGGGGACCCATCACCCTGCCAGGAGGGCAGCGGTGGCCCTTGGACCATCATCCCCCACACAGAGTGGGTTGCTGGTGGTCCTGGCCATGGCCTGTAGGTCCTGCTTGTGGGTGTGTGGTTCCTGCTCTGCCCCGGCCAGGATCCTGCACGGGGCTTGGCGTGTGCTCGGTGGCAGGGCTCCAGATCCTGCCCTGCTGCTCTCCAGCCAGTAAATATTTTCTGCTCGGTGCAGATTATCAGATGATTGGGAGTATCATTTGTTGCTCTGCCAGAATTCGTCTTGTTGGAGCTGTTGTGGGTTTTTTTAAGCTTTCCCCTGCACTTGCTGTTGGAACATAGTGGGAACAGATATAACATAAAGAATGAAGTATGTATACAGTTTGCTTTGTGAGCTGCAGTCAGTTCAGCTGCTCCTGGGAGTGGTGGGAATGTTTGGCCGAGGAAGCACAGGGCTGTTTTCGTGCTGTGCTGATGGTCCCACGGAGCTCCCTCAGAGCCAGCGCCCTGGCCCCCAGCTCCCTGACAGCTCAGCAATGAGCAACACTCCCTGCCATTGACCAACCCCCCTCCCCAAACCCACGCAGTCATCACTTGACATTTCACTGGGATGAGGGCTGTTTTAGGAAAGCTGCCACATGGCTGCAGAGCTCTGGCGTGCCTGTGGGGAGCTGCCCCCAGCCTCACTGCCCCCCTGGCACTGGGGTGAGCACAAGTGGGGACACCCCCAGACACAGGCTCTGAGAGCTGCTCTCCCCTGGGACACCTCTGGTGATCAGTTGAATATGAATTCTCACTTTTTGCCTGTTTCCATAAAGTTTGCAGGAACCCAGTTCTCTTGGAGAGCCTCTCCTGCCTGGGTGTGGGACTGGAATCAGCCAAAAGGCTCAAGGCATTGCACGTGCCTCAGGTTTCTTATGTAACCACATGAAAACTTCCCAGGGGCTTTGCCAGGGTACCAGTAGTGCCTGGGAAGCCACAGCAGTTTCCTCAGACACTGATGATGTTGAGAAGAAAAAGCCCTTATGTTTATCCCAAACCTGCCCCATGGCAGCTGTGCTGGGGTGCCAGGGCTTTGGGATGGGGTGCAAAATGGGCCAGGAATGAAACGATGCTTGACAATACAGCAATCCTGCTGGGCAACTCAAGCTGTGACTGGGGAATTCATGGTTACTGGTGATTTTTTTGCCCAGATTTGCGGCGTGTTGAAGGCAGTAAGAGCCTGACCTAGTTCAGCAGCCGGGGGAGAGGCAGTGCTGGGAAGCTCCTGCCAGGCAGATGGAAAATATGTCTGTGCTGCAAGGCTGAGCTGAGCTCACCCGGGGTCCCAGACAGCTCTGCTGGAGAACATGTTTGGCAGCACACTTTGTTAAATAAATAAACTGCCCGTTCACAGAGAAACAGAGCAGCCCTGAGACTCAGTTCTCAGTTCATTTTGACTTAGCTAGACATTGCAGGGAAGCATTACAAGACATCGTGTCCCTTCTGGGCTGCTTTTTAGCAAAAGCCTCCCTGCCGTGACTAACACGGTTTCACCATTGTTCACGGGGAAGGTGGCTGGCTGCTGCAGCGCGGGGAGCTGGCTTGGGCTGATGATCACCTTGGCAGACCCCCAGGGGACACACACCAGTAGCACTGGGGATGCGGGTCCCCACTGCGGATGGGCTTCGGGGGCCTGTTGCGGTGCTTCCTCCTCAGCAGCAAAGCCGTCCTGCCCCCACCGTAGCCCCTGCACCAGCCCGGGAGGTGCTGCCTCGCCCGGGCTGGGTGCTGCTCCTGCCTGGTGTGGTCCTGCCCCACTGCTCGCATCCCCCCCAGTCCTCCCTGCACAATGTGATCTGGCTCTACATCCTTTAGATAAAACTTGCTGAGGGGATGTATGGCTCATGTGGCAACAGAAAGGTGCATCATCCAGCACCTATGGAGTAAAAATTGTAATTTTAGCTCTGCTATTGCTTGTGCACATGCTTTGGGTGAGAAATATCAGTGCCTAAAGGTGGGCGATCGCTGGCTCCCGCTCCGGGACAGCAGGACAGGACTGTGTCCCAGCAAGGAAAGACTTTCCCTTGTTTGCTTTCTAAGCTCTAACACATTTCACCCTTGTGGATACCGACCTTGCAGCAATGACTTTGTAACCACATGAAATGACTCAGCAAATGCCAAAATTGCTGCAGTTCAATCCAGAGGCTGGAGGCAGCCTAAAATACAGCCTTCCCATTGCGCTGGGCAGCGGCAATGAAAGCATACCTCTCTTCAAAGATGAGTGTAGGTGCTTTGGGATTTTTTTTTTTGAGATACTAATGTGAGGGAAAAAACGTTTTTCTGCCTGACAGGTCTCCTGGATTAGTGTGGACTGGTGATTTGAGTAATTTTTATTGCCTTGCCTAAAAGGAGTTTGGAAGTCTGTGAGCAGTCTTCAGAGAGTGATTGTCCCTCTCCAAAAGCCCCCATAAAAATGAGTCAAATCTCTGTTTAAACTTAAAGGATGCCCTTGAGACCATTAGCTCTGCTTAGGAACTGCAGTCCTAACCCATTAAGATAAAAATAAATAGAGCTTATTTTAGGAAGAGGGAAGTGGGAACCAGCCCAAGCACCAGTGAGCCACCACAAGCACTGATGTGTTAAGGTTGGGGTTTTTTCTTTTGTCTCATGTACCTTCTAATTCAAAGTGAAATTCAGCAATCTTTTTGACTTGGCACAGTTGGCTCCTTAGGTATCTAATAACATAGTCAGACAAGAAAGGAAGGTTCTGAAAATGCCTCATATTTCCCAAAATACAGAAAAACTCCAGCCCATCTTCTGGAGTCTGTAGCATCATGATTGGCAATCCCAGTGCCTGGGGACATGGGCAGCATTTGCCCAAGGCAGGAAAGCCAGCAACAAATATCACTTACCCGTATCACAGTACAGTGCCTCTACCCTTCAGGGCAAAGCAGCATCCCCCAGAGAGGAATGAAAAATTACTTACTTTGCATGTGAGCAGTGACAGTCTGTACAGATAGTAAGAGCTACAGATAAAATTCCCTCCCCTGCTGCTGCTTGCAAGCAGAGAATTTTGCATTAGAGCTGGATTTTCTGTTTTCAGAGAATTGGTAATTTGCTAAAAATGGTCTTTCAGCTATTCCTAAACTGTTGAGAAAATATTAGGATATCGGTGGAATAGACTGTGGGGCTGTGCTGCCTCTTGGGTGGTGAAACCTGCAGCCCAGCGCTGTTGCTTCTGCACATGCCCGGCGTGAGACTTGTTAAAGCAAGAAGGGACAGCCGAGCAAACGCAGGAGCCAGCTGAAGGCACCATTTTTCTCCCCCAGCTTGGGGCTCCTGTAGCTCAGAGGCTGATGGCATAACCCCTTCCCAACCAGGGGCGGTGCTAACGTGAGGAGACTTCTTCACCCCTGCTGCTGCGACAGCCGCTGTGCTAACGGGGCACGTTAACCTCAGGCCTCGTGCTCCAGCACCCACCTCCCTGATGCGCTGTTAGCGTATGTCATAGCAACTTGTGAATAAAAAGCAGCAATGGGTTAAAACTCTGCTGTGAGGTGGTGTTGAGCCAGATTTGTAGTTCCTAGCTTTATATTAAAAATCAAGAACAAATGCGTCTGCAAATGTGATAAGGCTGTAAGTGCATCTGAAATCAGTCCCACTCGTAGGAGATGTGGTGGGAGATTATAGAGCGACAGGCCAAGGACCGTGCTTAGATCCAAACGCTGTGCAGATGAGTGGCTGGGTGGAGGTTGCTTCTAAAAGGATTTGGAATTACTGGAGTTACTTTTAAGACTTTGTAGGTTGGAAATTTTGGGTTTGCTAATCTGTCCACTGAGCAATGTTTCCTTAGGCAAAATGAATTTTTCCTCTGTTCTACTGAGGTCTGAAATGCACTGGTATTTTGCAGAAGGGAAAATCATTGCTATCTACTACCCTCATGGGGTTCTGGTTGGGTCATCTAAGAGACATGAACAAATTTGTTTCGTGTAAAATAACTAGTTTTAGAATTATATTTCTGTCTATTTCTTTGTTGCATCTGGCAAAATAAATGCAAGCAGGAGCACTAACAGAACAACGGGGAGTTGCCTACACGTCTTTCAGGCCACGGTGTTTTGGCCTGGATGGAGTAATTAAAGTTATACCCAAAAGTGGTACGGGAAACTGCAGTTACTGGGTTGCACTACACACTAGTGAGCACAGAAAAACCTGTCTCTTCTGGTTTTTTATTTTTCCTAAAAGTTGAACCCCATTTAATCCTAAACCAATTGCTATCATTCCTGCTTTTTTTCTGATCCCTCAACAGCCTAAAACAATTACACTCACGTAGAACAGTGCATCTCTTTCATTAATCCACTCAGGAAAGCCATAAAGATCCAATTACAAAGAAATGTGGAGACAGTAAAAGAACTACCTTCTGTCATGCCTCGAAAGATAACACAGAATGCTAAACTTTTCAACACAAAATAAAGGAGAATGTTTCTATGTGTTTTAAAAATGCAAATGTCTTCAGCTGGCTGGTTCAGTTTGTAGACCGAGTATGCCTCACAACAGAACTCAACAGGATGAAAAATGAGGTAATTGAAGCAATTGTTGAAAAGGGAGTTAGAAAATAATTTGAGCTCTGCCAAGGGCAAGATTCAGAGGAAGCTGCCCTGACTGTACTGGGAGGCTCTGTCTGGTATTGTCATTTGAGAATTTGACTTGACTGTGTTACCGTGCTAAGGAATTTCATCTCACCTCACTCCTTTGTGCATGCAAAAAGCAGGAGTTCTCAACTTCAGCTGTCTCTGCTAGAGTATGCTCGTTTTCATTGTATGCTTTTGTCCAAGCTAGCCTACAAACTTGTTTCAAACACATTTTAGGAAGGAAAAAATTCTTGTGCAATAGGAAGCAGTCTTTGGATATGCACAGTCATAGTGCATGCCAAAGGGGAAGCAGATGGAGCAATATTAATCCTCATGATCAGATCCACAATGTTCTTTAACATTTAACCTTTATGATATAAATAGGAGATGTCTTAAGCTTTATTTGTCCTTTAACTGTTGACACTGATCCAGATGAGATCTGCTCTGCCTCATTCACAAGCTCAAGGAGCTGTATTTTGAATAAAATGCCTACTGATCGCTTTTTCCCCTGGAGCTGCCTTTCTGCTTCACCAGAGGAAACTGGTCCATCTTCTCCATGGGCTCGCTCAGCAGAGCAAGACAGGGCATGTGGGCAAGTAAGTTACAGTCATATCTTCAGGTACGGAAAAGCAAAGCCATCCACTTGAGTATGCTTAAGGTGGAATTCAGTACATTTATTTGTAATAAACAGATCTCCCTCTAGCACCGAACATGTTATATTGGCTTCTAAAATATATGCACCTTTAACTTTCTCCCCATTTTTCTCTTGAACATAATAGAAATACTACATGAGATTAAATCTGAACCTCACAGGCTGCCTCAGCTGGTGAGGCTCTTCACTCTAGAAGACTGTTCGTCACTCCAAACTGCTCTTAGTGCTATTTCTGAATTGACTCCTTTACTCTGTAAATAATCAAGTCTCTAGCTACTTTCAGAAAGGCATCTAAATAGCTCAAGGAACTGACAACATGGACCCTTCTGACACCTCATCTTCCCTCAAATTGAACTTGGCACTGACCAAGGCAACAGCAGTTGGTATCTCTGCAGCTGAAGGTATGCTGGCCAGTATTTCAGAGGTTACAGCCCTGAGAAGAGTAATAGTTTACAGTTCAATTCAGCTAATTCAGAAAAATCATCCAAGGACGGTTTGCATTCAGGTCATGCCAGAGGTCTCTAGAACACAGTAAATAATTCTGATCATCAATGAGAGTATCACAGATAGTTTTAATATAGAACTATGTTGCTGACTAATTGAGATTTTACATTATTAGCTATGTATGCTAAATTAAAATACTCAATCCTCCAAGCGGGTGTGAAATCACACACACGCCACTTAAATGTAGGCTTATTGTACATAATTACTTGTTGAAAAGAGCAGTTTTCCCTTGAAATTATCCATAACTTAGAAAGGTCAAGACATGAGCTGATGTGGAATCTTAGAACGTGAGTCACTAGTATAGCAGAAGGAAAACTATGTCCCTAATATTTCCCCCCCCTCAGACTGTCTAAATCCACATTGTTTGTGAAAACATAAAAGCAATTTCTGCAAAAGCTGATTTCTACTCCTTAAAGTTTTTCCTTCCTGGTACTTGGTTATATTGACAGTTCCACCCCCAGATCTTTGATCTCACTAGTTGGTTATATTTTTTTTGCAAGTGCTAGGAAGATTTTAAAGTCAAGTTTTACAAAATAAGAGTCCGCAGTCAAGATTTATGTCTTATAAAAGAAGGTCTGCATTCAGAATCAGTATTTTTAACAAAAATAAAGGGGAAGCAGACTTGGAGAGAACCTAAGAAAGAAGCCAGCTTTACAGGTGGAAATTACTGGTACAACACGTTACAGGTATAACATACTGTTTCATTTTCTTTCAGTGATTTGATTTCCTTAATTGTTTACAAAGTAGAAATCGTAATCAAGTTCTTAATTTTAAGAAGAAAAGACAGGATACGGAGTCTTCCTTGTCCTACCATTAATATAACCCATTAAATGTGGTTATAGAAGTCATGTTTAATAAGACAGTTTAAGCCATAATAGAAATAATTCTCAAGCCTTCCAACTCTAAAGTCATGGTGTGAAGTTCTTCACTCATTTCTTCAACTTTTAATAGCTGAAAGGGAAAACTCAGTTTAAGGACTAATATTGCCAAACACAAAGCAGATGCTGCTTCACATTATCAAATTATTAGAGCCTGAGACTCGGTATTACACCACGTAACAAAATTCTGGAAATTATAAGGGTAAGATGAATACTGTTATCAAACAGAAAACCAGAGAACTCAGATCTTTGCAACTGAAATTTGTATGTTAACATCTGCAGAAACAGAATTAAAGTTATAAGCTCTACAGTCAGCTTCTCCAAATCTCTTCATTAAAAAGGCTGGACAGCATTTAAGACCTTTATATTAATTTAACCAAAACTGTACAAAGCAATCAATTTTTACATTTCCAAAATACTACAAAGTGATCAAGAAAGAAATAACTTCTCCTTTTAAAGCCATATGACAGGCAACTCCCTTTACAAATTAGAGGCTTTTTCAACAATTTTTGTTCTGTATTAAGTGACACCTGCTGACCATTTCGTCTGAGTAGTCAGTTTAGGTTCATCTGAGTTGTCCAGATGAACCTAGAATTCCAGCCAGTACCAGATCTTTTCTCTTCCAATAAAGAATTTACAGAGTAATTATATATATTTTCTGTAGACATATAATTTTATATATGTATGTCTGTATATATATATTTGTGACTGTATATGTATACATACACACAGATATAAAATTGCTGTATTGGACTGTTTATGCCTGCTGAAAGAAGTTTTCACCAACAACTCTGGTGCCAAAAAAGGTCTCTGCCATTTCTGGTACTTATTAGACATGTGGAAGGTATGCAAGCGTCTACAGAGTAGCAAACAAGTATGAAGAAAGTCCTCTGTACTGGAATGATTTTGACTGCGACTACTGTCCAAGAAAAGAGGCCATGGGATCATCAGGTCTCTGACGTTTCATTCTATAGGCTTCCATTTCCTCTTCTGTTGGCTCCCTGGTTTCATACAGGCTGTTGTACGGTCTCTTCCTCTCATCTAACTGCATGATTTCTTTAACGTGGAGAAGACGAGCCTCTTCCGCATTTAGTGCCTGAAATGAAAACAAAGGAAAAAAAAAAAAAAACACAATGAAACTTAAGCAAAAAAATCAACAAAAGTTTGTATTAGATTCTGATATAATGAACAAGCAGCGGGCAGAATGGTGGGATAAGCAAAACACATCTGTCTGGCCCACCTACAGCACACTTCATTTAATGCTCATTTTGTAGTGTTTAACATAAAATGATGGCAAAATGGTACTTAGCAAACAAGATACTTTAATCTCTTTCCAATTGCCAAAATCAGGTAAGAAACTCCTTAGCTTTACCTAAAATGTAATCATGATCCAGCAAGTACAAAAGCAGATAAGCAAGCATGTGATCTTAGGGGCTTTGGTTTGTTTGGGGTTTTTTGTGGGGTTTTATTTGGGGGTGGGGGTGTTGTGTTTTTTACTTTCAGTCAGGGAGCAATTTTTTAAAATGCTCTTTGAAATACATGTTATCCCATTCCTCGAACTACTACTGTTGCTCCTTCTTGTTACTGAAAAGAAGTTGCATTTGTACAATGCTTTGATTAACCATAGTTTAACATTAGTTTCATATTCTGAATAACCAGAGGTAGGCTGCTGTGCTTGTGGAAGGGCTGTTCAGCAGCAGTCAGTAGATAGCTGGCCTTGGTGGATGGATTTACTGCATCAAGTGTGAGACTGGGCCCGTCTGGGATAAAAAGTGCTAAGTTAAGCTTTGACAGTGCCTTTGATCTCTCCATCTTTCTTCAATACACAAATGAGTGTTCTGCAATGTCTTTTATAGATCTACAGCTGTAATAGGTGCCTAGACAGGAAGCGCTCCAAATCATCTAAACCAAGTCTTCCAAAACTAAATATTTATTGCATGTTTGCCTGAGGAATAGGGAATGTACTTTAGAACATCTAACAGCATTATAAATATGCTTTAGCTCAAAATTAGCATCAAAAAACATCCCACAGAATACCACAAGAACTGCATTACAGGCCTCATAAAACTGACATTATTGTAAAACATATTTCAGGTACTTTTTGCCACAAAACCACTGAAGGATAGTGTACCTTTTTAAGTTTTTCTTGCTTCTTTTTCTCTTCACCCTCACTATCTGAATTTGAGCTCTTCTTGTGCTTCTTCTTTTTCTTCTCTTTCTGTTTCTCTTGGTGGATCTGTAAGGTGAAAAACCAGGTATTGTTATGATTCAACTTGCAAACATTAATTATGTTTGAGCCATTAAATCCCAAGCATCTATTAATGCTATTTGAGAGCTTAGTTTTCAGTAGAGATATTAATGATCTAATAATGCAGTCTAACTCATTATGACTTACATAATTTTGTAGTTATACATATCTTTCAGTCTCTTAAAATGCCGAGGAAAAATATCTGCCTTGCTGAGAAAGGGAAACAACCTACCTCCATCAGTGTTTTTGGTTTTGTCATGTGTTCTTCCTCCCTGGGTTGCTCTTCCAGTAAGCTTGCTTCGGTATTCTATACAGTAGACATAAGAAAGGATACCCATTTACTAAGCACATTTGAAAGTGGAAGGACAAAAAACCCCAAACCAACAAAAAAACAACAAAAAAACAGAAAAACAGTCTAAAACTTAAGTAGGAAGTTGAATGTTTCTTAGGTCTCTCCAAGTGACTAAGACAATACTTACAGCAATTTCTTTCCCAGCTTCTCCTGTACAGTACGAGTACTTGACAAATGAGTGGCAGCATTTGTAACCCCACTTGCCTTCTTTCCAGTATGAGCCCCAAATGCACTGCAAGAGAAGACACCATAGCAGTTATGTCCGTAATGATACTCTTGTAACAGGCAGGCTGCGATTTATTCCTGAGGTTGTATCTTGGCAAGTAAATCATTCAAACAATCCAGAAGGGAAAGTCTTAAGAAACACTTCTGCAATTTTACATTAGTCTCACAGGTACGGTTTCAAAAAAAGAGAAAAGCAACAGGATGTGGTCAACTCATATTCAAAGTTGAAGGGAAATGCAGGAACTTCCCCTTTAGTTTAAGGCTGTCATCATAACTCCCCAAATTCACATCGTAACCATGGTAATTTGAAATTCCTCCTTAGTAGAAAAGGGAGAGTGTCATAGTTGAGACAGGAGAAATTTATTTGCTGTATTAATTATATTGTCTGTATGTTACCATACCTCATTCCTTTCCAATGGGAAGGAATCTAAATTTTTTTACAGTTTTAACATAAACTAGGCCTTACTGTATGGTTATTGATCTTTACATCCTCTTCATATTTAGAGCAAGCAATAGCTTTCTCTTGTCCTTTGATGACTGTTCCATGCCTAGAGTACTCCACATAATCTTCTGTTTGAGCTAACAGCAGTTCAGCTGGTGGGGCATCTAGATGTTCTTGGCCTCCATACTAAAATGCAAATAGAAATCACATGTAAAAGTTTTGAAAAAAATCCCACCTTTTATGTAGTTAGGCATACATTTCAAAAACATCACCTTCAGTACCTTCTGAAGAAGACACAAAAGAAGTAGATGGAGACAGTTATTCTTTTGTCAATAGTTAAGAGAAAAATACACCTCCTATGGCCATCGTGGTGTTTTTTGGTGTGTGGGTTTTTTGTTTTTGTTTTTTTTTTTTTTTTAATGCTTGGAGGAGGATTACAACAGTGAGATTCCTTACTCAAAGCGGGAAAACTTTTCAGACCAAACAAAAAGGCTCTGGTATAACCTGAGCAGTACTTTCTGTCCCTGTCCAAACTTGAATGTTGACAAGGTTAGAATCTAAGTGGGTTATTTAGTTCTTTGTCAGTTGTCAAATAAACCACTGCAAAATATAAAATAAATATTTACCTAGAAGACTGCACCCAAAACTTGCGTCTGAAAATTCTGCTTTTCATATGTAGGAGAAAGGTTTAAAAATAACTTTGGTAGAGTTACTTGGGTATTTTACAAAATATACCCTTTTAAACAGTAAAAGAAATTTTTCAACCACTTGTATTATTAAAAAAAAAAAAAAATCTAAATACCCCCTCCTCCTACATACTGCTGTAAGATTTTTCACTGGAGAAATTGTGAGAGTTAATAGAAGAGCTCCCAATAATCCAAAGAAATACCAGATCTTCAAAGTGTCCTATATTAAATAACATAATGAATCCAACTGATGAGATAGTGTGTATAGATATAAAAATCTTTTATAAATCTAAGATGCTGAGAACAGCTGATGCATTTTCACATAGCACTAGTAATCTTATTTGTTCTCCAAGACCCACACTTCAAACTCAACAGAATTCTTATTTAATAAAACCAAACATCTATTACCTTCTCTAAGATGCTTTCTTTCTGCTGTGCCTTGAAATCTTCTTTTTTCACTTTAAAGGATTTGTAAAGTAGCTCTAATTTTGTAGGGTCTGCTTGAAGATGAACTTCAGAGCCTTTGTCATAAGCCTCCCAAGCAAACACTGTGTACACAAGAGGTTTCACTCAATATTTATTCTAAAACTGATACATGAATTCAAGATACAGTCTTTAATTCTATAATAATTTGAAAGAAAGCCTCAATCTAAAAAGTTTTCTATTTTGCAAGAAAGAAGCATCGTTAGCTTAAGTCTTTTAAGTCCATTTCCTTAAAAAAAAACCCAAAACCCACTTACGTTGAGTCTGTGCCATTGAAATGGTATCACCAGTGTAGCGAACAAAGTTGTCACCTGCATAACCCACTCTGCAGAAAAGAAAAATACGATTCTTAGCACTCAAGTAATGTGATTTCCTTTTAAATGCAATCATAGAATACCAACAGGAAAGTAAAAATTCTCCTTTGTGCTCAGAAAGGCAAGAATGGAGCGAGAAGAAGGAGCATTCAAACTCAATACATGAAAGTCTAGGCTCTCCACAGAGTCACAGAAGTATCAGATAGAAACTCTGAATACACGATGTGTATGTTTACATGGAAACAGCTTATGACAGAGACTTGGAGCTCTGTCTGGGACACCAAGCACCATGAGTCAACCTTGGTAATAGCTTTACTGCTCTCAGTTACCTTTCAAACACCCCTTGAAGAGATTCACAATGAGTATATGAAACACAGATTGAAAATCAAATGTTAACAATCCAATTTCCCACTCTTTTCATCTCCCCAAAGCTACTCTGAAAAATTTACAGTCTGCAAAGCTGTGGCAGAAACACAGATTCAACAAAGGTCAAATTATGAGACTAGAGGGAAGTGAAAGCATCTGCATCTAAAAAAAAAGCATAGACTGGCATTATTCTAGCTGGGAGCAAGGAGAGGTGGAAAGAGCATTATTTGCTAGCATTTAGCCACTGCCATTCTATTTCAGGCAGCGAGCCAATCCAATTACTGTACTCTGAATAAAGTTTCTCCTCACAGCCTGTCTACTTGGTACATCCACAGCACTACACGGGTCAAGACGGGGTCATAGCTTAAGAGCTTGATTCTGGTTTTAAGGGAGACAGCCTCATGTGCAGCCAAAAGCCAGCCTATGGCATTCTTTAATTAAGTTGTCTGGCTAGACAATGCCAAAGCTTTCAGACCTTTTCTATGTAGACTCCATTAATGTATGAGGAGCTCTTGCTCTTAATTCAAGCATTTAGTTAGGTACCACAAGTACTCCATGTTAGTCGCCAGTGCTGAATGCCTCCCAACACAGAAGGGATGAAGTTTAAGATTTTGTTACTGAAATACTTTACATAAAAATCATTATTGTTTACAGGTACCCCCTCTAGATACAGCAGAGTGTTCTAATCCTACTACAGATTATTACACTAAATGGTGGTCCACATACCCCTGAAGATTAAGGGCCAATATTACTAAAATACCACTTTACATACTAAAACAAAAAGTGCTGCTAAACAAAACAATTTTTCCCATGTTTTCTACTACTTCTATCCATAACTGACTGGAGATCAATTAGTAAAAGGACATAGAGATAAAAGAAAATACAAAACTGTTAATCTCATTTTTAACACTTTTGTTAGATACACTGTTTTAACTTACTCATCTGGATTCTTGCCTGTATTGGCATATGGGTTCTCCCTCATTGCTCTTGTTTTGGGGTCATAATAAGCGGAGTTTGGATCTAGATTCCTCAAGTACTAGGGAAGGAAAACAACACACAAGATATTAGATATTTACAATTTTAAAAGAACTGAAGTTACTCCTGTATCCCCCAGCTTAGACATTTTAAAAAGCTGTATCTATGTAAAATGATGACTTTGATGAACTTATGAGTGGGAATAGAACTGCACATAGACCTTAACCTCCACAGCCCAAGACCCATACATAAATTCATTAATAACTGAGCATATACTTTTTTGAAATTAACTCTCTACAAAAGAACATCTGTAAAGAATTCTTTACTCACTTTTGCAATATCTTCCCGAATACGTAGATTTCGAACTGTGATACGTCTTTTAGAGTCAAAGTTCTGCCCAGGCATATCAATGTCATCTGCATATTTATCTTCATCTTCATCTTCACTGTTATGATCTCTTTCCTGAGAAGAGATGGTAAACTTCTAAATAAAAGAGGACATTCACTCTAGAGACAAGAATTTGATTTTAGTGCTTTCATTAAAAATTCTACCATCCCTGTAGATAAAAAACCAGCATAATTTACCTGTACTTATGTGTGCTGTCATGCTAATCTAACATTCAATGGTTTTCAGAAATACTCGTTAGAAGATTTCCACTTCTTCATATATAAACAGTTACAAAAACGTAACTGTGATGAAACTAAGAAAACTGTTATCTTGGGCAAAATATAGCACATATCAAAAACTAGTTATTTGATTGCATCTCTAAGGTTAGGCAACACATAGGAATTAAAACCAAAACCCCCCTCTATGAAGTCCAGCAACCCCTGCCCAAAGGAACTGGCAGCCAGTGGCATGAACCCAGCATTCAAACCCTTACACCACCCTTGTTTCACTGTTCCACTAGCTACGTGTTCTTTTATTGCCCATGGTGTGATGCAGTGGTTAATCATCTTACTGTCTGTGAATTTGGTTCCTCTTCTCCCCACTGGTGTCTTGGGGAGTTCTGCAGCAAACAAAGAACACATTAGCAGGGAAGACAAGATAGTGGAGAGTGAAGAGCAATCAAAGCAGAGCTTGATGCTGGATACAAAATACAATTTACCTGTGGCACAAAAATGCACAAAAACTGCTATATAATGTTTTAGGAAAGAGCTTATAAGTGTCACTATTATGGACACACGTTGGAGACCTTTTCACTGTACTCTGAACTAAATTTCCAAGCCTTTGCAAAAACAGCAAATTCTACAACTGTCACTGTTACTTAGAGCTTGTTATGCCTTTGAACACTAATGGTTTAGACTAGAATATTTCATTTCATGCAAATATAACCAAGATTCAACTCAAAGATTGAAAAAAAAAAACCCCAAAACTAATTAAGATCTGTATCTGCAAGTATTTAGTTAGGATTGACAGGAATACTGAATGAATGTATGTGTGAATCAGATGCCATCATTTAATCTTCAGAAACACAGCCAGAATTTATTTTTTTAACCTGCTTAGCCTCTAACTTGAGAATACTTGCAGCAGTAAAGATGGAAACAACTGTGAGTTCTGGAAGACTGACCAGCAAATTGGCCAGCACTGACTATGCAAACCAATCTTCGTCCTCTCCATCAGAGATAGTTTTTATGTTTCAAACATACTTTTCTTCTTACAGCTCCATTTCATAAATAAATAAATATATGGAAGCCAATAATGTTTGTTCTGTGGTGAAAACAGGCATCAAAAAGAGAGAGTCTTTTCTATCCTGAAGGTCAGAACGCTGTAGTTTGTGCGGGGTTGGAGAATAAGTTCACTCTGCCATCTAGTGACAAAATGTAATGTGACAGCCTCTGGAAAATGTAGTCTTTTGCTTGGTGTTTTCTTTCTTATAATATTGATTAAAAAACCCCTCTTCTGACTGGTAGCAGTCTTTACTTTTTGCCCATTCTATAAACTTAGAATATTATCATAAATGCCTTTTAAAATGAGAATTTTATATCAAAGATTATCAAAAGCATTGGCTATCATCTCAGAGGAGCCTGAAGAAGTTAACAAAGATGCAAACTCTACAGTTGTAAACCAGAGGGGAATACATATACTCAGCCTTAAAATAACCAGAAACACTGCAAATAGTCACAGCAATGACTGAAGAAGAAACAAGTTTGGTTTAAGACAAAAAAACCCAGCTTCCTATTCCGATTTATACTAAGCATTGCTAAAACAGTCCACAGTCACATAATAGTCATTACCTCAGCATTAGTCAGACGTAACAATCTTTAAATACAAAAAAAGCATTTCAGCATATGAACAAAATTACTACATGGTAAACAAGTTTTTCTGACCCAAAATTCCATGTAATTAATTTTAGCAAGAATAATAATCACACAGAATTTTTGCCTATAAGGGGAAAACAAAGCAACTCTCATTTGAAAGATGCTTCAAGAAAGAAGAGGATTCAAATTCTTGAAGGTGACACAGGGTATACTGGTGCTGGGAAAATCTTAAAATTACTGAAGGGCATAAAAAACAATAGCAGACCCTATATGGAGAATAAAAGCATCAGAGAGCAGAAGCAACCTGCTGTATTTTCATTCAGCTTAAACAAAAATAAATTAGGGTTTAGTTTACTTACCACTTGCTCCAGTTTTCCTGATGCTAACTCTTCCTGAAGCTTCTGGGCTTTCAGTGTACGTTTGGCCTGTGTATCATGAAAATGCATTTTTTTTAATATTTCTTTTTAATATCACATGTGTAGTAATACTTATCATAAGCATCTCTTGTGACTGCCATCATTTGAAGTGTACTCATTACAAAAAAATGGGGGTTTTGACTCTCTGGGTGCTTGTGAAAGATCAGCAGCGTAGAGCTTGTCTCTTCTACTCCCATGCTTTACAACATTGGTTTTTGAGCCTCAAGGAAAGGAAATTATGCGTACTAACCATTTTACTATTTTATATTATACTGTTAAATAAACAGTTTACTAGAGTTTATGCACATATACCATAACTACATTCATCCCACTTTTAGAAAGAAATAGCTTATTTTAGGTCAGTAGTCTTTAAAAAACACAGTGATTTATTATTGTGTTCTCATAATCTGCTTAGAAACTTTAGTGCTAATGGCACTTCATGACTGATGCTGCAAGTACTTATCGTTCACCCAGGAAGCACTGAAGTCTGGCATCTAAAGTCAGATTTTAAAGCAGCTTGTAGTGAATTTTTGTATGTGTTTGACATCATAGAGCCACAGAACAGCTGACACTGGCAGTCTCCAGAGGTAATCTCCAGGGACAATCCCCCTGCTCAAAGCAGGCTTGCCTACAACAGGTTGCCCAGGACCGTGCCTAGGCAGGTTTTGATTACCTCCAAGAATGGAGACTCCCCCTGGGCAAGCTGTTCCACTGTTTCATCGCCCTTACAGTAGAACATTTTTTTCTTACATTTAAACAGAATTTCTTGTATTTCAATCTGTGCCCACTGGTTCTTGTCCTGTCACTAGATACTACTGAGAAGAGTCTGGCTCTGTCTTTAAACACTCCCATTAGACATTTATACACACTGATTAGATCACATTTAGCATAAGCTTTCCTATGCATTATAGGAAAATACTGAAGACCAGGCAACAAAGGGAGTTAGTTAGGCACCTAGCTACCTTTTGGAACAGGTAGCCAACAACCAGCCAAGGTAGTGAACGTTTTTTTTTTCCTTCTAAAAAGTCAATAGTGTCCACATGGATTTGATGCATACAGATAGAAAGTTAACTGCACCAGAAAGGTGCCAACCTGCAAAGAGACATGTACAAATAGTCCACTGCTCCATCATGGTACCAAAAAGAGTCATAAGTAAAATAACACGAATGAGGTTACAAAGTAGATAGACATTTATTTGCTCTAATACAGCCAAATAATAAATTCCTTTCTTGCCTGAGATTCAATGTGCAGCTTGGGTAATAAATTCTAAGGCTTGTGTATTGAAAATTAAGCAACCTGGAGAGACCATTTATTGTACAGACCCATACTCAGTTGCCAATTCTGATCTGAATTTTCAGTTTAAGTGAAGTTTGCTATCAAACACAGAATACATCGTGCTTTTTCCTTATGAATACAGCACAAGATCTAATATTAACACTGCACATGTTCCTCATTCCAGACAAGCCAAACACTAAATCTTTCCCCAGTAAATCATAGCACTGACATACCAAATCAACCTTGGAATACTCCTCTACAATCTTCATGTGCTCTTCTGGGTTATAACCATTCCAACGATCTCGCTTTCCGTCATAATCAAACATCAGTTGAGGCTGCACATGTTCATCTGGTGCAATATTCATGCCTGTGTATTTTGCTCCAACTTTCCTGGGTCTCTGAAAGGATCAGTCCATTAGACTAAAGTATGTTACTCACTCAGATATCCCTTTAAAAATAGTATCAATTGAGCTTCTCTAAAGCCAGTTAAATTCAGCACTATAAGCCTGTGAATTGTAAATAAAAGCAAGTAGTTCATTTCTGTATTTTAAAGTAGCACAACTGACTCCAACCCCCATCAATTTCTAACTCTATTTTCCACAGCTAAGAATGCAATTAAAACACAGTCTCTAGGAATGGCTTCTAGCTGACATGAAAAATGCATAGGAGCACTTGAATTAAAGCAAATTAATACGAAGAGCTAAATGTTTTCGCCTATTATTGCAGTGCTGATCACAAACAAAATTGATGAGCAACACCCTGAATTGTATAATTTTTCCTACATAAAACTTTAGAAATTTTCAAGCCACATATCAATACTTATAACCTTTTTCAAAATGAGTAATTTTTATTTTATCTATAACTCGCTATTTTTCACTAAGATTGGAATTCACATTGTTTTCAAAACCACTAAAACATCAAGAAAAGTCAAGTTTACCTCCATGCAGTCTTTCTTTTTATGTGTCAATGCACCACAGTTCTCACATGCTCCTTTACGGTATCTAGTTGCTACAGCATGCTAAATAACAAAAAAAGACAGTGTTGTACAAACTTGTGGCAAGGTTCATATATGTGTTCCCGATAACTAACTCATTTTTTCAATAAAACTGAAGTGCGAGTGGTCTACCCAAACCCAGAACGCATTTTAATTATTACCAATCACTGCAACTTGTCTGCTGAAAAAGAATTCCCAGCTCCTGTCTCCCTCAAAAACATGTAACCAGAAATTATCTCCTCGTAGAATCAAACCAAATCTTTATTTTATGACAAAAACATTTTGCTTACCTCTTGAACTCCTCGTTTGTACCAATCTCCAGAGGAGCTATATTGTTTCTGCTTCTCCGGCTGAGGTCTCTGATGCTTTAGTGTAGGTCTTTTAGAAGGATCTATGTACCATGGTACTGAGGATATATACTGAGGAATATGAGGATTGATATCTCTGTAAGAAATGTTGTGTAATAAATACATGGTATAGAGAAAAAGCCAACAGCTTAGCCTAACAAATAACTCTTACATTAAAGTTCAGTGCTTTAAGAGTGATAATAGAATAATTAAGTTGTTACAGTGCATTGCAAAATAAACTCTAATTTAACTAGATAAACACAGACTTTCATTAAGATTTTGTGGCCGTCTAATTCACCTAAGCTCCTGACTCCAAATTATGCTAAGCAATGTCACTGAGCACAAGAGTAGTAACATTTCTCTTCTCTGAAGCAATGTAGAAGCGAGAAAGAGAAAAGATAAGGTACACAGCAAAGCTCCCCAGTTTTGGTCACTTTTAAAGTGATGTTTTGGTCCCTTTTAAAATACTACTTGTAAGTAGCTGCATAGATGGGACTTTTTAGCAGCACTGTCAATAGATCACAGTAACTAAACACTGAGCCTCCATTTTTTTGGAATATATGTTTTCTCAGAATGACTGGAATGTTAAAAGCAAATTCACGAAGTTCAACTATTTACTTCTACAATGACTCATGTAAAAACCACGTATTACCCTCACGAATATTCTGTATTCACAACAGGAAAAAAGTCATTTTTACCCAGTAGCTTTAGAATAACCACAGCTTTAACAAAACTTACTTTCCTTCTTCATCCACCTCAGCAGGTGCATTTCCTAATTTTCTTTGTTCTTCTAACTCCTTCTTTTTCCTCCAGTCTTCCCTTGTCATCTTCTTTGGTTCCTCCAGGCTCACATCATTTGATCCTCCCGAAGGAGTGGCGTTCACCACCGTCCCTGATGGCATTTTGTTTTTTCCCCTGCAACAGAAAAAAAAAGAATAAAAAGTCTTACAGACAAGACCACTTGACAGCACAGTTCTCAACGTGGCTTTGTATCGTTCAGTAAAACCAGTAACGCCGTACTATGCGTCCTCAACAAATGTCTTTACACACCCGTGCTGAAAAAAAAAGGAATGATATTATTAACGTTCCTCTTCTCTAACCGACGCGACACACGACGGAGACGAACGGCAGCAGCTCTGCAGCCAGTGAAGACGCGCTACCGGGTGCTCCCCACCCGCGCAGTGGGGGACACGGGCTCACCCACGGCTGCCGGGGCGGCCCCAGACCGCGGCCCCGCGCAACGCGCCAACCCGGGCCTACGCCTAGCCCCGAGGAGAAGCAGGAGAGCGACTGCGACGCAGCAGCACCCCGACAGAGCCAGAGCCAGAGCCAGAGCCCGAGCCCAGGCCCGGGGCCTACCCCGGTATTCCCCGGTGCCCCCGGCCCTTACCAGCCAGGCCGACGCCGACGCCCCACAATGCACCGCGGCTACACCCCCCCGAGCTCCGCCCTGGAAGTCGCTGCTCCGTCACTGACAGGGGCGGTGCCACGCTGTCACCATAGCAACGCGGCGCGAGGGCCATTGTCCCGCCCCGTCCCCGGAACGCTGGGGGGGAGGTGGTGCGGAAGCGGCTCTGATGAGCCAATCGGCTGCTGAGCCTCAGTCAAAGCAGCCAATGAGCGATGCGGAGACGGTTCAAAAGCTGGCGGCGGTTGGGCCGTGGGGCACTGCGGCTCGGTTCTCTGTGGTGGCCTGGCTGCGGCGCGGCCCGAAACGAGCCTCGCCCGGTGCTGTCGTCCTGCTGGAGCTGTCCCGGCCCCTGCGGTGAGCCCGCGGCCCGGCGGGCCGTTGCCCTCGCCTGGTTAGAGCCGCGGTCTCCCCTGCGTGCGGGAGCGGGCGGCTTCCGGAGCTGGGAGCAGGAGGTGGCCTGAACGCGGGAGGTGCTGAGGGCTGTGACTGTAAGTCTTGCTTTGACTTTGTGCTTAAGCTTTTGACCTCAAGGTGTACCAATTAAAAGTAGCTTTTTCTGCATGCCTCTTGAATGGAGAATCGCTTGCCCACCCACGTCGCGGAGCGATAAGCTCCAGGCGGGAGCTGCCTGGCTGTTGTTAAGAGTGCAGGGGAACGCTCTGATCTGGTGTCTCAGATGCGGATGAAAAACAGCAGTGAAGTAAGCTATTTATATGGGGAGGGGGGGTCCTCTAATAGTTTCTCTTTCTGCTGAAAAGATGTCTTTGCTAGTAAAAGAACTGGCATTTTTGGCTGTTTAAGTGCTGCAAGCTGAGGTAAGGACTGGATTGCTAAACTAGGAGATGTATTCTTCTCTACAGATTTAAACACTACAAGGAAGTGTCAAACCAAACCGAAGGCATTAGTCCTCTCTGTAGGATTGCTAAGAAGAGCTTGCTACTTTCCTAAATGCTTGCAAGCACTCTTGGGACTGTGAGCCTGCCATGTGCACTAACAGTGTCTTCAAACATAAGGGTCTGTAGCTAAACTACTATGAAACTGTGTGAAATGTGGGTTTGTTTCCCTTCCTAGCAACCAGTGTGTGGCAGCTATGTTGTCTTTAATGTGGCTTGCTTAAAAAGTTGTAGAAGAAATTACATTAATTATTTCTTTTTCCTGTATGGGCTTTCCACAGTGGTCTCATCAACCTGAAGATGGCAACACTAATCTTTATTGATAAGGAGAATGGTGAAGTTGGTGCTGCTAAGAATCAGCTGAGACTGCCTTCAGGATCTTGTGCGTACTGCCCTAAGTCAGTAGGGGATCAAATGAAGTGCATAAATCCTGTTTTATTATTCACTGGTTTGAACAGTAATAGTTTTCTAATATCTACTCATGTAATCAATTCTGCTAAACTGATAAACTACTATGAAAATAACTGTGCTTTTGTCACAGATTGGGTTTATGCTTGTGAGTTGTAAATGGTGAACAATGGTTGTTGTAACAACTAGTTTTCCAGCACATGCACTTACTGAAGCAAGTTATAGGGTTGATGTGGTGCTAAAGTTTGGTTTGTTTTTTTTTTTTTTTTTCCTTACTCTCCAGCAAAAGTCTTATCTGAAAGAACACAAGTTAGCACTCCACTTCCCAAAAAAACAATCAGTACCTCTCCAGCCACATCTCACTCTGTCAGAAAGGCTCTTGGAAATCTGAATAGAACTGAAGGAGTCATGAGCAAGACTGAAAAGATAAGACAGAAAAATCAGCCTTGTGCTGCAAACAAAGTGAGTACAACACACTTTTGTGGAGGGTGGGGAATGCATAATTTATCTACTGTTGTGGCTTAACCCTGATGGACAGCTAAACACCACACAGCTGCTTGGTCAACCCCCCTCAGTGGGATGTGGGGAGAGAATTGGAAGGGTAAAAGTGAGAAAACTCATGGGTTGAGATTGAAATTTTTAAATTATTAAATGGTCAAAGAAAAACACAACCAATTTCTCACCACCAGCTGACTGATGCCTTGCCCTGAGCACTGGCAGCTTTGGCAGGCTTCCCCACCAGTTTTTATTGCTTAGCATGATATCATGATATGGAATATCCCTTTGGTCAGCTGTCCTGGCTGTGCCCCCTCCAATGTCTTGTGCACCCCCAGCCTACTCACTGGTGGGGTTGTGAGAAGCAGAAAAGGCCTTGATCCATTGTAAACAGTGTTCAGCAATAGCTAGAACAGCTGTGTGTTATCAATGCTGTTTTCATAACGAATCAAAAATATGGCATCACATGAGCTAATAGGGAGAAAAATAAGTCTATCCAAGACAAAAGCAGTACACGTATGTAGGCACAAGTAGTACTGCAGCTTAGGGGGTATCTAATGACAAAGAAGTGGATTTAGATAAAATAGTCTGAGTTAATATCTTGTTGTCCTGGTTTTGGCTGTAATAGTTAATTTTTCTTCTTAATATATATGCTGTGTTTTGTATTTTGTATGGGATTTAGTATGAGAAGAATGCTGATGATACACTGATGTTTTCAGTTCTTAAGAGATCAAGAACTCTCTAGCTCCCCATGTCCAGTCCATGTGCAAGTGTACAAGAAGCTGGGAGGAAATACGGCCAGAGCACCTGACCCAAATTGGCCAGTGAAATATGCCATGTCATGTGATGTTATGCTCCGTATAAAAAGGAGGGTCAGCTGGGAAGGAGGGGGTTCTCCCTTCCTTTTAGGATTGTGATTGCAGGATTTTGGTATTTCAGGATTGCTAGACAGGAATGGGCTGGATAACTGTTAGTGGGTGGGGAGCAATCACATTGTGCATTACTTGTCTACTTTTTATTATTGTTTTGTATTACAATTATTAAACTTTATATTTTAACCTACAAGTGTTCCATTACCCTTCCAGTTCTATTCCCCATGCCCTGGGCAGGGGAAGTGTGAGCAAGCAGCTGTGGTGTTTGACTGCTGGCCAGGTTCAAGCCATGACATTTGTTCACGTGTTCAGAATCAGGAGCTTAACATTGCGAGCCTAAATGTTCTAGTGCAGTGATTTGTTACCACAGTAGGTAGTACTGCGCTACATAAACTCAACTGAAGCACTTGCCCATCTCCAGCTTCTTTCATAGAATCATAGAATGGTTTGAGTTGGAAGGGACCTTAAAGATCATCTAGTTTCAATTCCCCCTGCCACAGGCAGGGACACCTTCTCCCAGCCCCATCCAACCTGGCCTTGAACCCTTCCAGGGAGGGGGCAGCCACAGCTTCTCTGGGCAACCTGTGCCAGTGCCTCACCACCCTTACAGGCAAGAATTTCTTCCTTAAATCTAATCTAAATTTATACTCTGTCAGTTTAACACTGTTACCCCTTGACCTATCCCTAAGGTTCCTGATCAAGAGTCCATCCCCAGCTTTCCTGTACCACCCCCTTTAAGCACTGGGAGGCTATTATAAGGTCTCCCCAGACCCTTCTCTTCTCCAGGCTGAATTACCCCTAGCTCTCTCAGCCTGGCTTCCCAGGGGAGGTGCTTCAGCCCCCAAGCATCTTCGTGGCCTCCTCTGGCCCAGCTCGAGCAGCTCTGTGTCCTTCTGCTGTTGGGGGCCCCCGAGCTGGACACAGCACTGCAGGTGGCATGTTGAAGGTATTAGAATTTAGGCATAACTGAGGATTGTATGGCAGGCATTCTTGTCTGTAGACCTGTATAACATAGGAAAGCCACTACAAAGGTACTACACTGAGAAACTACAGTACCTCAGATAGTGTGACTTCCTCTTTTTAAGATTACTGAAAAGTCTGCTGGATTAGAAAGCTGTGATGCAGTGACTGAAGAAGACTGGCCGGAAATAGAAAATATGTTTCCTTATGATCCTCGAGGTAAGAACTATTAGTGTAACTATTGGAATGAACAGTTACACTTTCACAAGTGTTGATGTTGTTTTAAGACTTTGGCCAAGCTATTGTGGCAAACAAGCTAGCATTGCACTTCTCTGGAGCCCTTTATTAAACATAAGGGTGTTTGCCATTTCTGAAATACCATCTCAGTGTTGTTTAAATATTTCTAAATGCGATAGCTGTGCTTCAGATATGTATTAGTCTGAGTCCATTATTATGGTGGCAGGAAACTAGTTCTGAATAAGCATGCTGTAGCCTCTTAATTCATTAAATGGCAGCTAGTAGACAAGTGTTCAAAGGAATCCTTAAGCAGTACTGGAGAGTAGACTTCTCTTAAGAGTGTATGCCAAGATGGTAATTTGTAACTGAAGAGATTCCTACTGTTCTAGAATATAATAGTTGAAGATGAAACTTCTAAAGCTGTTATTAAAGTATCTGCAATGGGCTGTGTTGGTCTCAGTTCTTCAAAGTGTGTTCTTAAACCATCCATTTCCTGTGGAAGTGAGCGTGGAGAAACTACTGTACCAAAGGCTACTTTAGTGTTGGTGAAACATATTCTGTGCTTGATATTGTGGTAGTATAGTGATTGGAAAGAAATTACTAAAAGCTCCTGCTTTACATTAGCAGTTATGTTATGCAGTCTAGTCTTTTGCTAAGTGTTAGTGTGTGATATTTGATGGACAACTAAGGTGTAACTGCAAATAAATACCCCATGAAAGGAGAGTGTTGGATTGTGTTGTTTTGGACCTGCTCCCACCTCATTTAATCTAGGAGAATTTGCAGCTTCCCAGGCTGCTGCTATTGTACACTGTTACTAAACTACTGTGTGTCTTTCTCAAACAGACTTTGAGAGTTTTGATCTTCCTGAAGAGCACAAAGTAAGCAATATCAACCTGTGTGGTGTTCCCCTCATGATATTTGAAAGGACATATGACAGATGTGTGAACATGGTTCCTTCACCTGTGAAGATTGAAGAGTTTTCATGGGAGTCTAGTAAGTGGAAACTTAACATGAGTTTCAGTACATACAGTACTCACTAGTGATCTGGGAGGGAAGCTAGCTGGCTGCAGTTGTGAACTGCCACTGCTGTCCTAACTACCAGAATAGCACACAAGTAAGTATCAAACGGCTTTTGGTGTATAGTCAAGCTGAACTTAACTGATCAAACCTAGTTGTTACAGGTAGTGGTCTCAAAGTGATGTTGCAGAGCATTCTCTTGCAGTGCATTGCTAACTGATCAGTTAGATGGAATTGACTTATGTAGTCAGACAGTATTTCCCTTTGTCATTTAAGAGGCTTAGGCTAATCTACTGGGAGTTAGTTTATGTTAGAGAGTATACATTCTGGATTTCGTGAGAAACTTATTTGCTCTATTTCTAACTTTCAGACTTGCTACAATCAACTACTGACTTTCTTGCTACCCTGGATGAGATCATTGACATGCCATCTCCAAATTATGACCTTTAATGCATATTCTGAAGCTTCTATTGAGTTCAAGTCTCATGTAGTTCTGTATTTTAATAAAGGCTATTCTAACCTGTATAATACTGGACTTGTCTGTTTTCAGAAGACTCGTGATGTAGGTAGTAAAAATAGTGCTTTGAAAAGCAGACTGACTGACAATTAAAGCAGAGCCTGGATAAGCTTCTAAGCAAAACTGTAATACACTGAATGATATCCAGGAGTTAGTACCTGCTGATTGGACTATGTGGTTGTGATAGTTTGAGGCATTTATGACCTCACTGTTTACATAACTTTATCCATTAAACATGTAAGGGTTTAAAACTATTCTGTGTAGCTAGTGTAAATTAAGTACTAGAGCTAGTGCTCTTCTGGCATTTTTCCTTTCTTGAACTTGTTTGCTTTTCACAGTGGTTGTCTAAGATGTATGTTGGATTATTATGAAGCTGTAGACTACTTTTTATTGTCACAGCATTATATGGCTCTCATTGCTGAGTACTGTCTGTACTCTTTGAGGAAAGGCTAGTGGAACCCCATCCTTCAAATTATAAGCACCCAAGTTCAATAATCTTTCATATTGCATTGTAATGGCATCAACTCCAGTTCTTCATGACATAAGACAAGTCAGTTGTAGAGGTGGTCAGCCTTTACTTAAGTTAAACTGCTTTTGTAGTTCCTGGGCAGTACTCTGATGTAGTCAGATTACACTAGCCTGATGTCCCTTCAGTTTTTAGCTCATCCTTAACATGAATCACAACGTTGGGCTTGTGTTCTGGTCATCTGCTAAGGTAGAAGGCCTTTCTGATCTTCCATGATGCACCTGAGCTCTGAACAGGAGGAATGGTCATGTCAGATTTAATATTAGTACACTTACACTACATAACTGCAAGCAGTGGCAAGACCACCTTTTCAGCTCACGCTTACCATAGTGTCCGAAGAAGCAAGAAATAAGCTTTAATGATTGCAAGTTGATTAAAAGATGAAAATGCTCTAGCTAAGGAATGGGGTTAATTTGGTGTGGATCAGTGGTGTATCCTACAGTTCTGCTTCTTGGAGGTATACTGTGGCTGCACCCTGACTGCATGTGAAGATGAGAATGCTTAACAGTGTTCCTTTTGTGCTGCTGTTTCTAGGAAACCTAAAAATGCACATAGCAAAAGAGTCATTGTTTTCCACTAGGTTGTCTGGTTTGCAGGTGCTGGAGGGAATGCATTTGCCCTGCTGTGATGACACAAGTAATGAAGGCTCCTTTTAGTCTTCAAAAGGGTAACAGGCAGAGCAGAGAAACCCGTTTTCATTGTCCTGTTGCAAATCTGTTGTTGCTGTTTCTGAATGTGAAAAGACATTCGACATTCATTCTGTTTCTTCCTCAAACTTGACAAGTATTAGCTAAAGTGTAAAAAAAAAAAAAAAACAAAAAACCCAAACAAAACAAACAAACAAAAAAAAACAACAAACAAACCCAAAACCAAACACCCAACCAAAACAAACAAAAAAAAACCCAAACAAAACAAACACCCCAAACCAAAACAATCTCATTAAATTGTAATGAATTATATGATAGCTGGTCTTTATCTCCAGTTTCTTGTCTTTGGTTTGAAACTTCAATGAATTCAGAGGAATATAAAACTAAACAGAAAAGAAAAAATAGATGATTTTGCCTGATCCGGTTTTTGATTCTGAAATAACTTGACCATCTCAACTGAGATTGAAGTTCGATGGGTATAGCCTACCACCCACAGGAGTTAAGCTGTGGGAACTATACAAGTAAGTGCCAAAATGCACCTTTCTTCGACTTTTTGTCTTTTCTCCCAGCTCGTTGGAACTGATACACAGTCCAAACCCAATTTTCCAGAAAAATGCCTGTAACTAAGGCACTGAAACTGGTTACACAGTGCCATCATGTGGCCACTTGTTATGCAGCCACAAAGGTAAAAGTCACTAGTATACAAACCACCAGAAAATGTGGTATGACATACCATAAGGATATGAAGCTAAATCAATGAATGTAGGTTGTAACTTTCTGTATGTGTAAACAGACCTCTTGTCTAGAGAGAGAGACACTAGTGTTTTGTACGTGTTATGGATGTTTTTCTTGGTACAAGTGTGATAAGTAATAGAAGAATTTTGCTTTCGCTAAAAGTAATTAAACAATTACTTCTTAGGCTAAAGCTATTATTAGTACAATGATCCAAATTTTAAGAAAAGTAAAAGACTTTACTACTGGGAAAAGGGGGGAATTGATCTGAGGAAACACCAACCCAACAGCCCCCCCTCTTGGGATGCTCACCAGATGATCCATATCAAAGGGTGGTAACTCCTTTGCAATGGATTGAGAGAGAACAGAATGGGCCATCTCTGGTATCCCTTGTCCTTGAGATAAGAGAGGAACTGAAACCATTGAGCCATAAAAGACAAAGGAGCTGCAAATTGGCCCAGACTTGAAGGACAAGGTGTAGGAGACCACAGGACCGAAGAAAGAAGATTGTAGAACAATACAGGAGGCGTGCCGAAGGTGTTGAAACCGGCAGCTGGGTGGATAAAAGGGGGTTTGAAACTTAAACAATTTGGTGAGCCTGGACGGAGCTGCGACTCCTCGGCCACCCCAGCGCTGCATTTGCTCTCTTACCTTAATAAAGATTCATTAATCCATATTTGGATGTGATTGGCCTTAATCTACCTATAACACAAGTAATTCTTTTTGGTTGATTTTAAAATATTTCTTGTGATCAAGCATCTGGATCTACTATTTGAACCTCCAGAAATAAGTTTTTTGTGCCATGTCCACCTGTGTGTATACATTCGAACACACTAAAACATTTAAAGCATGCTTGTTAGTTGTAGGGTTTCATACTAAAATGGATGAGCATTTGTATAATGTTTGAAAAGGTGATAATTAAATGATGCAGATAGCCTTCTTGGTACTGATAGACTTTAATCTTGAAGCCTAAAAACTTGTTACTTGTGGGGATAGTGGAGTGGGTGTGCAGAAAGCACAGTGTGAGTCAGACTTGGGAATACTGCTGGTCTGCATGAGAAAATGTTGCTGCAGTATAGAACACAAGAGAATAATGATGGAATAAACTAAATGAGTTCACAACAGTGTATTCTTATTTTATATAAGTTATTAAATCCTTTCAAAGTCTAGGGAAAAAGAAACAGTCATGTTTTGTGTCCTTTCCTTTACCCACCCCCAATTTTTTCTGTAAAATGATGAAAAGGTGTTTTGGGTGCAGAGGAACATTTTCTGTAGGATCCTTGTTTGGGTGTTTCATCTGATTTTCTACAAAAACGGTCTCAGCAACACAAAGCAGTCAAAGTTAGGCCTGAGTAAGGTGCAAGCAAGGTTTTCAAGATTTTGTCTGTAAATAATTGAGATCAAAAAGGTATTCTATCTCTGAGCCACAACAGGAATATTGCTAGGAATCTTGTGTACGGGATAGAAATCTGTATTCAGTAACATAATGCAAAAATCAGTTTGCTTTATATTACCACTACAGCTAATTAATATTTAGAGTTTAAAGTCTCACTAGCTCTTTAAAATGTTGGCTATGATCCTTTTGGTTTAAAATATTAAAAATAAATATATGCTAATGTCCAATTTCAGACATATCCATGACAAAACCCAGAGTTAAGAAGTCTATAGCAGATGAATGAAGAAGTTAACTTCAACTTTGGGTAGATGTTAATTCTTAGCACCAAATTTTAGGTGACTGGGAATATTTTTGTTTCCCACAGTAGTGTATATAATCCAGGGATTTTGGTTCTCATTGGGATTTCTGGTTAATGCAGGTCCAAGTTTTTGCTTTTACAAAGCTTTATTTTGTAAAAATTCATCAGAAAGATCCATTTGTTTCAGCTGGCTTTTATTTCCTGATTTCAGGTACTTTTCAACTCATCTGACAGGGGTTAAAGGGAAATGCATGTTCCTGTGACTTGCATGAGAAGAAAGTTGTGATGGGACTCAGTCTGTGAATTGGGGTTCCTGCCTGTGGTGACTTGAGATCACGGTCTCAAAAGCATAGTCTCTTATTTAGAAAATGTAAGCTCTGTTAGCCTCAGAGCTACAAAACTAGCTGGTATCAGCTCGTGAAGTGCTGGCTGCCTGAGACGCAAGGAGCCTGGTTGCTGGGAGTTTTGCACTGCTTCATGCCATTTCAGTTAGGTGTTAACACTGACTTGTACTAATGACTGAGAAATCAACTGCCTTAACTGTTTTAATGTTGATAGAACACATGGCTCTTTATACTCATAAATTTTTGTTTTCTATGGGGGGTATTGTCAGGAATAGATGCAACTTGAGTTCAAAATGGTGTCTGAGCACTACCCTGCATAACAGAAGACCTATTTGAAACTGCTTGTAATGTTTTGGTTTATTTACGCCATCAGTTTATGCTTTCTGCAAAGATCTGAGTTATTTGGGATTTTAAATGCATGGCTGTGATGAAAATGAATGCTTGCTTGATGCCTCGTTCTCAGTTTGAACAAGCCTTAATAGGCCAAGTGTAACAGTGTACTGTGACTGGGAAATCTGACATGTAACCAAGTACACAGAGCCCGTACCTTTTGCGTTGGGCATCACTCTGTAAAGCATCATCTTTGACAGTATTCAGGCTGTGAGAATTACTTTAAATCCTTACCTGAATTTCTGTAAGGAGAACTTGGAGATTCATATAAAAATAATCTCTTAGAAGGCTGCGTAAAATCACTTCAGTGCACATCAGATAATTCATCCTATTTGTAATGTTCTGGCAGCGGGTGGCACCATGGTAACAGCATGTATTATGGCTTCTTGCTCTTGCAACCTGACAGCTGTGGGGTGATGATGTTTGCCTTTGGTACATCATGCACAGTGCAGGCATCTGTAATGGGTTTCATTGCTTCATTAATGTGAAATGGAGGATAAGAGTCAGCACTAAGAAATTCACTGTGCCTTTACCCTGTGACTACAGGGAATAGTATATCATTCAAGGGCATTTTTATCTTTCATTGTTTAAAAAGAACAGAAATTAGAAGCCTGGAGGCAATTGGTCTCTCTAGGGTTAGCAAAGCTGTGAATCTTGTAACTTTTAGTTTCACTG